ACTGAAAGGAGGTGAGCACTGAAGATAGAAAGTTTGAAAAGTAGATAGGGGGATTTGTGTGCTGTTTGTCTGTTATAGTAAGGATATAACTATCTAATACAACTAAGCGTATGATGTAACTGGCCCTGCAGAAATGGTGGGATGCAAACTAGATCTAGTAGGCAGCTTGCCTCACTATATGTAAGTCGGTTCCGTACGCGTTCCATTCTGATTTGATAATCCCTCTGCTGGCTAGAGAATGTAGTAGTGACAAGAATAATTGCCACGTAGAAGTCTTGATTCAGTCCGCCATCTATGCATGCCTAGCTGAAGTTAATCTTACCGCTTCTTATTTACTAATTGCTACATGGCAACTCACCAAGCATTCATATACCACTAGGCTTTACACCTTCTCTTTCTGCCTGATAGACATCACACCTTCTTGGTGATAGACATATGCACGTTCGCTGCAAGATATTGATTACGAACCTTTCCTGCTAATCACCAGCGGGCTAAGTAGCATCGCCAAAAACTGTGACTGGAGCGTTAAGCTTTCAGTTCTGACACTGTCAAGAATATTTTTCTACCGCTATTTCCGCGCAGAATTCCACCAAGCCCAAAGCTACTGTAGATCCTTGCCAGAGCTGGTCGGCATTGCTAATGACCCTGCACAGTAGCTTTCCTGGATAGTCTGACTAGACATGCACACACAGTACGCAGATTGCTGGCGGCTGAGGGACAAAATACATAACTTATGATATTATACTGTATAACTTCGTAACTATGTATATTACATCATTATTAAATAGAAAGTCTATTTTAGCTCCGCCGCACAGGGTCAGGCTATGGGATTTGAGGCAGTCTTATATACGAATGGATATTGCCTTAGATCAGGCATCTATGCAAGAATTATTACGCAATGGCAATTAAATCAGTATAGCACTAGTCCCCACTAGCTACATCGACATATTGTCAGCTGCCCGCGGCCGATACAAGGACTTCTATAAATATTATAACAAGAACAGTAAGAGTACGGCGCGCAGTGGCATCGAGATGCATGTCATGAACAAATGTTTTCTGCTATCTGACCTTTTTGCTATCAATCTATTTATCAACTTTTCCTGTCTCCTTGTTGCTAGCTATTCTACGTCAAGTTCTTTTCTATATTGATCAACAAGATGGCTGAACTCGCTTCGTAAGTGACACAATATTATTTTATAAACGTCGACTAACTTAACTGTAGTTGGATGAGTATGTACAGGGACACATACACCTGAACTTGGTGAAAATCCGATACTAGGCTTTTTTAGGGATCGCGATATCTACGCAAAGGATGAGATGCTAAGCTTTTGTTGACTGTGCCGTTCGCGCTGAGATCCTTGACCTTCCGATCAGCACTGATTTCATTGAATCCGAGAAGACAAACTATAGTGAAGAAGAAAGCATGACGCTAGAGATCTGTAATCATCTGGGAGTTCCTATTGTTCACATAAGCACTCATAGAGGCAGAGGAGTACGCAAGGGTGAACATAACCCTGGCGCTTACGAGGGCATTGTTCGATTTGGCCATCTCAATGTGTTAAGAGAAACCGCCTATATCTACGTCTCGCATGACGGCGATTATACAAGTTGTGAATTCCGGAACGCCTCTCATATTGTGGTTGGTGCGTTCTGGAGTGGCAGGCGGACTACCGAGAAGGAAGGAGCGCGGCTTCTGGGTGTATTCCAGTTTGAATGGATCTGTATTTAAACACAGCTGGCAACTGCTCGACCAATCCATGATATGGTGACACTTGGGCTTTTGATCAATCTCAAATTTTGCTTTACTCGTCTCGCAGCTACAGATATCTTGTTGTCTTCAGTGTTCGAACCACATTAACCGGAGCGTAGTCTTTAAGGAACGGTGAAGCTACTATACAGGGCAGATAGCCTGATAACTAGGTAAGGATACGAAGGTGAAAGGAAAAGTACTAAAGAGTATCGACTGAATAGTAAAACAAAATACAACACTGACTCTTGCCTTCCTTTTGTATGCCGTGGTATCATTATTAAATAGCTTGGGACCCTCCTTTAACGGCTAACTCTCCGGCTTCTGGAATAGGCCTGAACAGCCAGGCAATGCCTTCTCAGGCTGGGTTATAACTGCGAGAACGACCAGAAGAACCGGGGTTCTCGAGTTCCGGAGGCTCCATACAGCCGACGGGCCGATTCCACATCGGAACCGTGACAATTAACAGAGATTCAGTAGAACCAATAAATATGTTTAGCAATGGGATAAAAAAAGACTGGCGTCCTATTTTCAGGAATTGCATTGCATTTCACGGCTGGTATTTGAGCAAGCCTTATTAGTTAATTAAGATAGCTGCAAGGCCTGGTAGAATGTTGTTATTTCTACTTTGTTGCTACACTCTAGCCTTAACATGAAAGATCTAACTAGCAACACACTAGCTAATACAACTGCGATACTCGTATGATAATCACTTACTTATACTCAGCTAGTACATACGACCATAGGGTGTGGAGAACAGGGCTTCCCGTCCGCTCAGCCGTACTTAAGCCACACGCCGGGAGGTTAGTAGTTGGGTGGGTGACCACCAGCGAATCCCTCCTGTTGTATGTTTTTGAGATTTTTTCTTCTTCTCTTTACTGGGTCAATACACTCCAATTTAACCCTACTATACACACCAGTTCAATCTATGGTGCTCGTCACTTTGCAGTTTTGCCTTTCCACGCTTCGGGCACCCGTCGTCACCGAAACGGATATCTCCATCACAACACAAGATTTCCGTGATATCACTGCCATTTGTTTCTAAAAATGTCAGTGGGCTAGTCGTATTGTGTCCCTTATCCTGCCCACAAGCATTGTAGCGTCATTTTCACAGGTAGAATATCATGGAAGTGACTCAGACTGATCAATAGCCGACGGCAATGTCTATCGTTTCACCAAGAAGCCTGATAGCGATGACATATACAAGGCTATCAGATACGAGCGATAAGAGGCCCGATGTGCTATCGCATATTGGATCTCACTCCGGGGGATAAGGTTAACTACTAGCGGCATAACTAGTCTAGGAGGAGCTCGCCTCGCGAACATGCATAAAGTGGGTCTTGGGAGGAGCTCCGCCCACGATGGAACAGATAGCGAGTAACTTACTATAGTTGGATGCCGCCTGTTCCTATCATGAGACTTGATCGATATGCGGAGTAAATCCGTTAGCTCGGCGAGGTATCAGCGATAGTAGCTTTATCTAACACATTATTGGTGCTCTCATTCAAAGACCGCTCTCACAGATCACCGCGAGTTGCAGCCGAGGTTAAAGTAGACCGTTTAGAACTAAACGATATACATTCTTTGCGTGATAAGGAATAAGGCTGCCCATTCCACTGGCGCTGTGCATTCGATATTTTGAACAGGATGACACTAAACGAGATACGCGGCCGCCTAGCCCTAGTCACGGGTGCTTCAGGAGGGTAACCATATCGCAGTTCACGATCAAAGTTCCAACTACTGACAAAGCTTCACTGCTCTAGAATCGGAGCAGCATGCTCTCACCAACTAGCTCAACGTGGAGTTCACCTCGCACTGACCTACTCAACTAATCCAACATCGATAAACGAACTCATCACAGAACTGCAGTCCAAATACGTCGAGAACAATCTGCGCATTTCCACCCACAAAGTCGATGTTGGATCCACCGAACAAATCGAGAATCTGTTCCAGGAGATCGATGCTCAACACGGCCAACGACCCGACATTCTGATATCAAACGCCGGCTACGGGAAACGAATAACTAATATATGGGACATTCCACTCGAGGAATTCGATTACATGCTTAATATTAATCTCCGCGCTTCCTTCGTCCTGGTCAAGGGCGTGGTAGAGCATATGAAGGCGCAGCGATGGGGCCGGATCGTGTTCATGTCTTCGATTGCTGCTTGTGGGGGAGGAATCAATGGATGCCGTTAGTTGATCTTACCCTTCTTAACGTGCGGTAATTTCTAATGTTCTTGTCTCAGACTACGCAGCGTCCAAGGGAGGGCTTACGGGCATGATGAAGAATCTAGCCACCCGTCTCGCGGAATACAACATCAGTGTCAATGATGTCGCCCCTGCTATGATAGGTGATACGGGCATGGTCCCCAGTGCTGCAGCAATCCAAGACACGGTGGCGACTATTCCTTTAGGCCGGCTGGGTACGCCGGAGGAGACGGCCAATGTGGTCACCATGTTGGTGACTACTGGGTATATGATGGGCCAGAGTCTCCTGCTGTCCGGAGGGTTGAAATAAGCTCATATTTTGCCTTGCATAAAATAGAAGAACCATTTATAATTCTCGTTGGGTGACCACTTCACCTTCACTTTTTAAGGGCAGAGAGGGAAGAGTTAGCACTGTTGCCCTTGTTCCCCCACGTGGCCTGTGATTCCTTGCCTGAATATGCACTATAATCTGCCAACTCCAAATCTGCCGTAAGTCTGCGGGGTTGGCCGATTGACACCTCCAGCCCGTATCTTTGTTCAACGCTTTTGGAGCTTTGCAGTCCGTTTGCCAATAGTCTTCGCCACTCTGGATGGCATAGCAGCTTTTCCCAGAGTGACCCCGGTCTTGTGGTTCAAGTAGACAAAGAGAAATGATATATGAGGAGATTCATTCATGTACCTAATCTAATTCTTCGTGATCAATCTCATCAGGAATGGCTACACTCACAGGAATTATGACCGGCTCAACACGTTTGGATTATCTGACTATTAAATCTACGTACTCAGTAGACCTGGTCCTTTGACCTTCGACCGATACCCACGTATCGTGTTTGCATCGTTTCGGACCTCATGGCCACCCATTATCACCCATTCTAGTCCTCGTGGTAAATCGCACCTAACCAAGATAGCTAACCGGTTGTAGAGTCCTTGGGCGAAGCTCCGGGCGTAATATTCCGCTCTTGCCCATTGCCATGGATAGCCTGTGTCACTTGAATGCCCAATTCGCATGGGGCGCGTATGGGCTGACCTCTTGCAGCGAGCGTTACTCGCCAAGAATATACCGGCCAGTCGAAGTCTGAAAGTGCCGTTCGAAATCAATTACACTGTCAGGTATAAGTGAGCTACGTTTCCATCTCAGGGTGCATAGACTAACCATGCCGGAATGATCCCAAGTCCCATAACCCGGTCTTCCTGACCGAATCCTCCGCACTACTGGATCAAGTGCTTGATTCTGGCACTATTTTCCGTTCGTTAAAATAACATTGCCCATAAACTCAATGTAGAACTTGACGTTCTCGAACGTACCATTTGATAGTAGACACCTCTTTTCCTAAGAAGCTCTAGATGACTGCCTTTCTCTAACAATTGGCCACCTTCACCTAAAACGAAGATTATATCGGCATTCTGCACGGTGGCCAATCGATGTGCAACGGCAATCAGAGTTCTGCCCTTAGCTGCGCGTTCAAAGGCCGCCTGAACGAGCTTTTCGTTCTCCGAGTCAAGAGAACTAGTCGCCTCATCGAGAAGAAGGACTCGGGGGTTGCGAATCAGAGCTCGAGCAATAGCAATGCGCTGCTTCTGTCCACCAGAGAGAGTGATGCCGCGGGATCCGACATCGGTGTTGTAGCTCTCAGGGAGAGACGTAATGAAGTCATGAATCGACGCATTACGACAGGCGGCGTGGATCTGACTGTCAGTTATTGTTCTGGGATCTATACCAAGGAGAATATTATCTCGGATCGTGCCTGCGATAGTCAGCGCAAGAATTGTCACGCAGACGGAAGAAATGCTGACCCTGAAAGAGCGTAGACTCTTGTGCCACGAGAGACAAGTGTTTGCGGTATGCATAGATGTTGACATCTGAAATATCCTTTCCATTGAAGAGTATCTGGCCCTTCTCGGGCTCATAGAACCTTTCAAGCAAGGATATGATGCTAGTCTTGCCACAGCCAGATGCACCAACTAAGGCGGCGAACTGTCCTTTCTCGATCCTCATGTTCAACCCATTGAAAACGGGTTTCGTTTGGTTCGGATATCTCAAACAAACGTTACGGAGCTCAATCGTAATACCGCCCTCTGTAACAGGAATATCATCTTTATCGTGAGGCTCCACGAAGCTAGAATCTCTTGCATCTAGGATACGTTTCGACGCAGTGGTTGCTTGGGCAAAGTTGGGGCCAAAACTCAAGCTCTTGCCAAATCCTTCGGCAGCATTCATGATAGCCGTCAGACACACAAAGAACGCCATGGTGCCGATCTCTCCACGAATAAACAGTCGGCCACCGTAGTAGAAGATGAGCGCCTGGCAACCGAGATTGGCGCTTTCTGAGAATCCGAGAATAATGCTGACCCAGCGAGCCTTTTTGTAGGCAGAGACAACATGTTCATGGCAGAGGGTCTCGAAGCGATATAATATTGAGTTTTCAAGAGTAAGGGATGTGACGGTACGAAAAGCTCCAATTGCCTCCGAGGCAAATTGGGAACTCTCGGCGAAGACCTTATCGCTCATGCTCTCGAACTGGAGCTCATATCGAAAACGAATATAACCGGAGAAGGCGCACACCGGTGTCACAGCGCATAATGAGACTAACGCAAGCTTCCAGCTATACGCAAGGGATATTATGAGGTTGCCGATTATGTTGAAAACAGCGATACAGATCTGGGCAATATTCGTACCCATCATCTCCTCGAGCTTAAGCGGGTCATCTCTAACGCGCGAGACTAGAGTACCATGAGAATGGCTATCCTCATCAAAATATACTGCCCGCTGGAAGACCAGTGACTTGAAGTACTGCGTCTGGTACTTTGCTCGGATCAAAGACGCAACGCGACCAGAGCAGAGAAATGTTATAAAGTAGGCGATACCAGCGGAGGCGGCAAAGATAGTCCATATAATAGCCATGAAGCCCATCTCATTCATAAGCTTAGTATAATTATCTTGCCATTTAAAGAGGAAGATAGACCGAGCATTCAGCCATGCATGCAATGGCTGTGCCGTACCGGTTACAGCTGAGATGCAAACGCCGAAGATCATTAGACCCCAGTAATTTCTGGACTCGAAGAACAACAGCCCAAAGCTTCCAAAGAAGCCACGATCTGACTTCATCCCACCCTTGTCGTATTCAGGGCAGCCATCACCAACTTTACAATCTGCCTGACTCTTTTCACGGCTGAGGGTGTCAATATCTTCCGTATCAAACTCCTGGGTGTCCTGGAAAGGGTCACCAAGGGAAAGAGTCTGTGCCTTTACGAGACCAGCATAAACTCCGTTATTTGTAGAAATCAGGCTGCTGTGTGTTCCAGACTCGATGATTTTACCCTTTTTGAGAACCATGATACGATCGGCGTTCTTGATAGTGGAGAGTCGGTGAGCGATTATAATAGTCGTTCGATGTTGAGCAGCCTTGTCGAGAGCTGCCTGTACGATTCGCTCACCACGGACATCAATAGCGCTCGTGGCTTCGTCGAGGATCAAAATGTCAGGTCTTTTGACAATAGCTCGGGCGATGGCGAGGCGTTGGCGCTGCCCACCAGAAAGTCTAGCGCCGCCATCACCAACCTTTGTGTCGTATCCCTAGAGCGTATTAGCGGCAAATATCTAACGCGTGAGCTGTATACACATACTAAAGGGAGTCTGTCGATAAACTCATCGGCGAAGGCCTCTTGACAGGCTTCTTTGACAAGAGCTCTCTTTCGCTCTTCGCTCTCTCCCTCCCAGTGAGAACCGATTAACCCTCGGGCAATATTCTCGTAGATGGTATCATTAAACAAGGAGGGCTCTTGTTGGACAAGCCCAATCTTTGATCTCCACCACTTGATGTCGATATCGTCTAGTGAATGACCGCAGGTTGTAATGGTGCCTTGGATGTTAACTGGATTTCTGTCCTCTTCAAGCTCTGGCCCAATTAGTCCAAATTGCTCATTAGCAGTATCTTGGGAATTCTTCTTGTTCTTTCCGCCATCCTGCTGTGTCACCCTGGCAATGACATGTTGCTGCGTCAGGGTATACCAACGTTCAATCAGACCAACTATGGTGCTTTTCCCAGAGCCTGAGGGTCCAACAATAGCAGTTATCTTTCCCGCCTCAATGCGCATGTTCAGCCGGTCTAGAATCATGATGTCAGGCCTGCTCGGATACGCAAAAGTGACATGATCAAAAACAAGATCTTCTGTCGCTGAAATATGAGGTGCCTTTAGCGAGCCTCTTTCAGTGATGGGGGCATCAATGACGGAGAATAATTCGCATGCAGCTAGCGAAGCTTTGCTTATGGCCTGCAAAGGCACTGAAACACGATCCAGAGAAAAGAAAATAGTTGTTAAAGAGAAGAGGACTCTAAGATGATATGAGGTCCCATAGCGTCCCTAGGGGATAGGACTACTTACACAATGATAATCCCTATATCATCCAGTCTGTTCTTAGTAAACATCATAGTCCCATACCAAAAGGTAAAAGCGATAGTACCGAAGACACCAAAGAACTATAATACTAAGATGTAAGCCTGAGTTTTCTAATCATTTCATTGAGACTTACTGTCAAGGCAAACTGCAGTGAGGTCAGTGGGTTTGTAGCTTGTGCCTGTTTTTTAGCCTCTTCCACGAGGGCTCCATACTTGTCAACAACCTGCTGCTGTGCACCACAGGCCATGATCATGCGAATACTTGCAAAGCCTTCACTAGCGATACCCGCCGCTTGTCCTTCCAGCTTTGTTTGGCGAGCCTGGCCCTTGGCAGTGAGCGGAAACAAGGCACCGACAATTAGAACGACAACAAAAAAGCCAGCCGACGTGACTAGTGATAATTCCCAGCTACACGTTAACGCGACAATCAGGGAAGCGACGATGAGAGTAGTGGATTCGATAAAGGTGCCGAGTTTCTCAGAAATACCGATTTGTAGTATATTGCTGCTGGACGTGATAGTACCGACAGCATGGCCGGGGGGTAGAGAGTCGAGAACATGCACGCTTTGGTTGAAAAGTTGCTTTAGATAATGTAGCCTGATGGCGGCCGACAGTCTAATGCCAATCATACGAAAGGCAAACTTGTGGATCGAGGCAAGTACGAAACGGACCAAAAACAGGATAAACACGAAGAGGCTACAGGCTAACCGTAAGCTTGAAAAGAAGGGAAAAGAAATAGGGGAGCGGGCATACCATAACTGATCGAGGGTATCTTTGGTCTTGTCGAGGCTTTGACTAGCGTTCCCAGTAACAAAGCCAGTAAATTCACCGACAAACTTTCCTATGTAACTATTAACTCTAGGTCAATGAGACGATTAGGGGATTTCCCACCAAAAAGAATAAACATTAAGGGCTGGGTAACACCGGAGCCGATAGTAGCTAAGACGCCAGCAGCGCCAGCCAAGAAGTCCCACACAGTTCCATACGTGAAGACGCGCTATGGTTATGAGTGAGCCTATGGTTCAATCTGTTGATTTGGCTGAAGGATAAGTCTGACCAGGTAGTCTTTGAGCGTCGCGGTACGTTCTAGATGGAGGTTGGTCTCGACGCTTTTTCCTAGCAATTGGCTGCTGGTGGCCTCATCACCTGGAAGTGATTCCTGTCTACTAGCCGCGACTTTGTAACCCATAGCTGATGTAGCCTTTGGTATTTGGGGGATAAGTGAAGAAGTGCGCGTCAAACCATCGAACCGTCGAACCGTGCGGGTCAAGCAGACATCGAAGGGCCATGACAAAGGATTGTTCGAAAGATAAAGTAACCAGAGGCTGGGAGTAATTTCCCCTTTTTCTTCTTTTCTTACCGGACAAAATTGAAAAGTTTTCTCTTTTTTTTCAAATGACTCACGAAACCCCTGGGGTCAATCATCCAGACCTGCGGTACGGGAAGCAAAAAGGTACCCGAGTGTGGAGAGAACATCCAAGCCAAGACGTCATGGTCTTTTCTTTTCCGGGGCCGGAGATCTTTTTTCGATCCGCCCCGGCAAACCCTCAACCAGAATTCTGCAACCAAACGTGAACCACCACGACGCAAACCCTTAGCTTTGCTATCGAACTCGCTGGGACGAAATCGCACTTGCCCTGCGAAAATGCCTGACGCGTCACAGGGAGAGAAACCCAGGGCGTGCACTAACTGTTCTCGGGCCAAGGCCAAATGCGTCCGGCTAGAGAATGGCAACGAAATCTGCCAAAGGTGTGCAACTGTGCAACTCACGTGCTGCGGTGGCCTTCACTCACGCCTGAATTACTTCCAGATGTTCCAAAAACAATCTTGCGTGTTCTAAATCGCATTCTGTATCGAAAAAGCGGCGAGGCAAGGCGACGTAAGTCGCTCCCATAGGCTTGCACTACTAGACCTTGGCAGCCACAACCGGAACGTACACAGTACACTGACGGGAATATTTTCCAGCCATGCAAGAGTCATCGAGCAAAAGTTGGACGATATCATGACTATTTTGCACCAAGACCGAGAGCGTGTATCTCGAACCGACCGATTGCCACCACATTCTCAATTCCCCAACGAGGGTTCCACGTCATATCAAGACCATCCTCCGTTAGACGCAACAACTCCACCGCCATCGGGTTCGATTTCGATAGTACCAGGCTTTGAGGTCTCTTTCGTTGAGGCGAACCAAGCTCTTCAGGAATACATGACTGTCATGCTTCCTGAATTCCCTTTTGTTCCGTTACCCTCTCTCAAGGCTTGCGATATGTATAAAGACAAGCCATTTCTCTTGAAAACTATCTTGTGGGCTTGTAGGCCTCCGGGCCCAGATGTTTCAGCTACCTTTGAAAAATGGTTTCGGCAGTATATTGCCCATCAAACTATTTCTTTAGTGAACAAGAACTTAGAGCTTGTCCAAGCACTCCTCCTGTTTTTTGCCTGGTACGAAAAACAATTCTTACCGCTTCGCCGGTTCACCATTTCCCATCACGGAATTGATCGCTAATGGAACGGGCTGTTAGGAATGATATCTATTTTTCCGCGACGAACAAGGACACTGGTCTGCTTTATTTAGCAATTGGATTGGTCGAAGATCTGGGGCTGGCCAGGCCCCGAAGGACTGTGAATCCGACCTTCAAGTCCATTTTCGAGGACGCGGCGCAGATGAGGAATGCTCTTCCACCTCAACCTACGCAAACGAACGCCGATCATCGAACTTTCCTAGGAGTTTACTACATAACATCCACGTAAGTCTTCAATCGCTATGGTAGTCCGGCTATCACAATATTTACCACTCCACGCTAGACTCTGCAGCCTCCTCGGGAAACGATCCAGATTAGAATACACAGCACATTTCGACCATTGCTGCGCGCAACTACTACATGACCAAGAGTATCCAACAGATGCACTACTGGTGAACCTCATACATATACGAAAGATCGCGATGAAAGTAAATGATACTTTTTGGGAGACGATCGATATCACCAATAGCAGGCCTCTTGGAAATGTTCACTTTATAGCCGTCGCTTCTATCCGAAATGAGTTGGACTGTTTCATGCGTGAACTACCAGATCATCTAAAGTCAAATCGTACGTTGGTTTTATCCTAACCACAGAAGGTGGGTTCACTGACGCCGTTATCAGATCTAATACAGACCCACTCCGCCGCGGTCTGCATTCGCTTATTTGAACCTTTCAAATATGGTGACAGGGGCGAAATGCTTGAGCCTAGTCACCTAAGATATCGTCTAATGTGGGATTGCTTAGAAAGCACACGGGAGCTCTATAATGCATTCCTCTTAGTGCCCGTCAAATCCTATCCATATCTCACCTTTGCCTCCATCCTTCATCTTGCCCTCGCGATCATCAAAGCCATGAGGTTGCTTTGCGTCGAGGATCATGCCTGGGAGCTAGACACCGCGCGGACTATGTATAACCTTCCGAATATTCTACAACAGCTGAGCAACCTCTTCGAGGCAGCAAGTAACAGCGGAAGCCCCAGGTGTAAGATCGTCCTTCACGGTCAACCCATATTCTCCAACTATGCCGAGTCATATCGAGGGATTGAGCGTCATTATTTGTCCATGGTGAATTCCGGCGCGACTCATTCAGACTCAGCAATGACGGAACCGGCTATTACAAACTATGGAGAGCAATATGACTTTGAGTTGTGGAATCAATTGTGTGACTTGACGTATGGCTTTGTGCCCTGAACGTGACGATTCACTTTATCCAACACCGAATGTGAATTGTGACCACCATACTAGAGACATCTGATGGTTATGAAATCTCCATTCAGTTGGCAAAGGTGGTCCAGTCTGGTGCCGAGTTTTGGCTCTCATAATCAAGGTTTGGCCAGCGCTAGTGGCATATAATATGAGCATTTAAGCCGTGCACTGACCACAAAGATCAAACCCTGACAGCGGCCTGCGTGAGTTGATTCCATGCACCCTAATTCATTCTGGTCAACTTATACGTCATCACATTCCAGTCCCGTTCCGGAGCTTTCCAACTGTCAAGCTAGGCAATTACAAGGTAACATCATGCAAATTCCATAAACCAGTTTTCCTAACAAAATTGACTAAATTGGTTCAAGCACGAATCTATCAAATGTCCAGTTCTTCACCGTCCAGCCATTGCTTACATTGCCAATAGAGCAGATCATGTTTCTGGCCATTTGCATTGTTCCCATCTCTTCGGTGGCCAGGCATATCCAAAAGGACCTTGACTCCCATGGTCCTTTCTTGGCAGTAAGCAAGATAACGATATCCATTGGGATATTGAGCAAGTGCCACCTCATCTAACACCGGAACCTTGTTTGGATTTACCGGTATTAGCTTGTCCTTTTCATACCAATGACGGACAAACTTTGCACGCCATTCTCCATTGCCAGTTTTCTCCCAGAAAAAGCAAAATCGACAGTCAGATTCAGCATCCACCTCGCAGCCATCGAGAACGAAACGCTGAGTGATTGTTACTTTCATTTTCGTCACTGCCCGTGATGCGTCTGGAGTAATATCGGTAGTGGACCCGTGAATCCTGTGCATGATGAATGCACCGCCATCCATGCCCTTCTGGGAAGCATTGATAAAGTCAAGGTAAAAGGTTCGTCCAGTCCAGGTGGTATAGATGTAGGCCTCTGGGTGAAAAATTGACTTTAAATTTTCCCATTCGCATGCATCACTATAAGACAAGATGTAAGGGTAAGGGATTCGATTAGAGGTAGTAAACGTGGCCGCATCTTACCGATATGCGGGCCAGCCTTCTGCTAGCTCCCTCAGCTTATACCGCTCCAAAGCTAGGTTGTCAGGCCCATTATTTCGCACTGCGTGTTCTGGCCTGGACCCTGCTGGAAGAGAATGTAAATCAGGCATGTTATTGGGAGAATTGAGACAGCCTAGGAACTTATCAATGACTGTCCGTATGAGATAGTCTGTGTAGGCCGGTAGCAGCAGCAGCTTCTTGGTCTTTTAATACGCTTAAACAGCGATGATCCGGATGAGGATTCTAGCGTAAATAAGGTGGGGGAGAGCATTAAGGACTGATTTTGGTCCAACACTTAACCGGAGACCACCTGGGCAGAGTCTGAAGTACCTACTAATGGACATACGATTTACCGTGCCCTATCACCTGACGCCCCCTTTTTTGGTTCACAGCACCATAACTTTAGCAGTAGGGCTTCGATTCAGGCGGCTTTGGAAGATGTCGAAAGCGTGAAAGCACGAGAACACATTAGTTACACAGTGAAACTGTCACTGGGTGAAATCTCGACCCATTCATCTATCGCTGTTTGCAATAGGGTCCGATCCCATATAGGCTAAATTACGTGTTAGGACTGACTTGATCTTTATCTGACAAACGTGGTCTTGTCTTCAGAGAATAGGTATAACAATTTCACTAAAGTACAGGATTCACTGTCAAATGGATACACTCCCACCCTTGTTGGTCTTAACCTCTACCATTACATCGTTGTCGAACAGCTTATGCCACCCGTCGGATGCCCGCTTGGCAAATCTTTGCGGCACAGATGGGTCTGGTTCGGCGAGAAAGCGCGAAAAGACTTCACAAGATACCCACCCCTTGAATCCGAGACGGTTAATGAATGCATCCACACATTGAGTGATTGGAAGGTAACCGGGGATATCAGCGTCGTCGTTGAATGTTCGAGCATTGCGTGCCCAGCTCATCCGCGCCGGTTGGCCAGGAAGATGCCACTCGTGTTCTTCCGTGACTGGGGTGCTGGGAAGCTCGGCATCTCCTATTTGGATATAGAAGACTTTACTCAGGTCCACTGTAGCAACTAGCCGATCCAAGGAGGCGTTGAGGCGCTCTTCTCCACCCTCCAATCTTCCGTCGGCTGCAGAGGGGTCCGCCCACTCCCTAGCGGGAATTTGAAAGGTGTCTAGCAAGATACCAAAATTCGGCCGGTCTACCCGTTGCACGATGTCCCAGACCTCTTCCCATGTGTCGATGAATGTACCCCACGCCATGCCTTCATACACAAAGCGTACGGCCGGTTCCTGCTGCAAGCCTAGATCCGCTACCTCAACCAGATCCTGCACTATGATATCGCGATCTCCTGTGATACCGGAAGGCAGAAAGTTGGTAGGGATTTGAATGAGATCAGCCCCCAGTATCTTGAGCAGCTCGAACCACACTTTCAGTTTGGCAATGTGTGTTTCGTGGGCGGCACGATCAAGGAGGCCCTCGTAGAATATAAACGGCTGTAACGATAGGATCTGGATTCCACGATCGTCACAAAGCTTTCGAATTGCATGTGCTGCTTTCACTTGGTTCTCATAGGTGAACCCCCCGGGATATGACTTGGCCAAAAATTCCAGGTCTTCGAAGAAGAGTTCGATTGCTTCGAATCCAGCATCGGCAATGGCATCAAGCTTACTCTCCATAGAGTGGGCCGATGCCCTGCCGACTGACATTGAAAGAATAGCCTTGCCATACATTTTTTGGAAAGCGCGAAAGTGTGGTTCAGCGGATGAGTCAAGGCGTTGAGGAATCACTGTAACCCGTCGGGGGATTTCCGGGAAAGCTGGTGCAATAAAGCCCAGAAACTGGGGAAACACTTAACCACCACCACCAACGTTTTATTTCCCCGAGGAAAGCTTAGGCTAATGCCTTGTATTCCGGGAAAGCATTTGGCGTGCAAGAATATTCTTCCCCGCAACGTAGGCCTCAAATCCCACACCGGTGAAGCCATCGAGGTTGCCTTTATCTGTGGGCGGGAGATCCGCAAGCTCCGGTTAAGGGTCCATCCAACCCTTTCCAACATAGAGTCACCAAGTAACAATAAATAGGTTACCTACACTCGGTCTATAACGTATGTAGATATCTCGTGCAAGCTTCAGAAATATATAGCAACCCTATCAATATGTCCAAATCAATTCTCCTCCTCAATGGCCCCAATCTGAATCTTCTCGGCACCCGCGAACCTCACATCTATGGGTCTGCAACCCTGGCGGACGTTGTATCGTCTGCCGAAGAGCAAGCTACAAGCCTCGGAGTGCAACTGGAAACTTTCCAGTCCAACCATGAAGGCGCCCTCATCGAGCGTATCCATGCCGCCAGGGGAAACGTCGGGGTCATTGTGATCAACCCGGCCGGATTTACTCATACCAGTGTGGCCCTCCGCGATGCCCTGCTAGCGGTCGACATCCCTTTCATAGAAATCCATATTACGAATACGCACACACGAGAAGAGTTCCGACACCACAGTTATCTGACAGATAAGGCATCCGCTTTTATTATGGGTTTCGGGGTGGCTGGTTACATGTACGCGATTGATCACGCCGCCAAGCTGTTGGAGTCATCAGGACAGGCCAAACCTCTCAGCAAATAGTTCATAGAAAGTCAGGACTAGCTGCGCGGCTTGCAATAGATACTCTGTACATAGCACCAAGCTGAATAGTTTTACTTTCCTCTCCTCCAGCGCCACCGCTTGTCAATGTGAGGCTACCCACACAAGTCACTCAACTGAATGATATTGAGGAAGTCCTCGCACTTGGACCAATTTTCTAGATCGACATTGATTCTCTTGGCAGTATAATTATCTGCACTGGTCATGCTCAGTCACATCAATCTCGTGAACCTAGAGCCCAGGCACCTGAATATCCTGCAATCTCGGACCTTCCGTGTCGTCGGATGCAAGCGGCAACGTTAGCTAGTGTATGGTCAAAGTCCAGTAAGCAACCAGGTCCTCTTTTCATGAATAATGGTTCTGTGTTAGCATACTACCTATTTGGGCCGAGGGCAGTTCTTGGTGCTTTAGGGGATCTTTTCCATCTACATATGTCCAGGGGTGTCCAACTGAACGTAGGAGAATTATGCCAGGGAAGATGTCAAAGTAAAATAGTACTTTCATAGAATATTTCACATAACTGGGCTATTTACAATCAACCTTCCAGTTTATCCCATCACACGCTCCACAACCAAAGTTACTAGACGCTCAGAACCTCTCACGTATCTCAATGGCAGTGTACCGGAAGGTCAGCTCACGTCCAACATCCGTGAAGCACCCCACGGTAAAGCCTTCCTTATCGACCGCCGGCTTTCCCTGGCCCAGGAAGTAAAGCCAAGACTGTCTGAATTCTCCCGATGGGTTGTCACCAAAGTCAGGAGTGAATTGAACATGTGGGGTCTTCTGGAACGGTCTCTTGAAGGTAAACCGCGTAGGTCTCCCATCCTGGTACCGAGTGATCTTGGCAGTGCCTGCTTCCATCTCGCCGCTCCAATATTGGCCGCGGTCAGCGTCGAAAGTTTGTCCTGGATTACCTAAGTAGTTGTACTCCAGGCGGGTAGAAGTACACTAACCAGTAGCTTCGGCCATTTGGGTTCGTGGTCAACTGTGTGGTACTAAAGTGTACGTCGCGATCTCAAGGATCTGACTGGTATCTGCAGTCAGCTAGGGATACTCCTGAAGGCCTTCTGTAGTTCTTTTACCTTGTCCAGAGGTCCAGCTTTCCTAAGCCGGGCCGAATCGAAGGATGGATAGAGATGATCATGCCGACGAGTAGCATCTTTATATACACAACATCACAGCCGGCGATGGCACGTTTTCAGATGTACTCTGTGCTAGAAGTTGGTCTAGACCCTTACTTGCTTGGACCAGGACGACGGCTTCCAATAGACGAGCTGAGGCGAGGGGGGCACCTGTCCCAATGGTGTTTCGCTGAGAGATTGCAGGCTTGCAACGTTTCACCTGCCATCGACTTCCATCCCGCTAGTTACATCTTCAGCTCGTTCCCAGTTGACGCGATAATATGCACGCTGCGGTCATGTGTAGAATTCTCCAGCTGTACACAATGCGCCATGCGATGTTAGCTACCTGTCAGATTATTAAAATCATATAATATAGCAAGAACCAGAGTGGGATATGTTTACTGTGATATCACAAGCCTGCACCCAGCTGACAAGTTGGTTTAAGGCATCACAGCCGTGAAGCATATGACTTGGTAGGTAGTCCGGAAACAGGGGCCTACTTTTACACTCGGTTGAGTCAAGAGCTAAAGGCAGTTAAGCAACAACAACCGGAGCAGAAGATTATTTTGCACATGGGTCGCGGATTTAGCTTCCGAAGGCTGAAGAAAAAGGAAAGAACAAGCGATAGGCCCCAACCTGCAGAATGCAGACCACAAAAGTGACACGTATTTACGGCCACAGGGGGGCAAGACGTACTAGTACTCATAGTCCGGGGTTACCCTGCACGCCACGATTAGAAACAGTCGTCTGCGCCTTTGGCTTATTTGTTGACAGCCTCTTGGTCACATGCACATTCGTGCTGTTGACCAAGCAGCATCATACTGCTAGTAGTTCTAGTAGTAGTAGTATAGTAGTACACAATACAGATACTACCTATGCTGATACTATATAACACCACGTGCATAAAATCTAGGGACGAAACCGTTTTACACCTTCTGTCTGTCTTACTGTGCAAATTGCTCCGCATAGCAGGATCTTCTACAGTATATTTCCGCTGACTGTCCTGATTGTACTCTGACAGGTCAGATGCTAGTCAACCTGAACATTTCTTCAGAACCATCAGAAAAAAGTTTAACCGCGGTAAGCCATCGGTTGAACGACCGTACGACCATATTCGCCCACGATGAACCCTGCCACGCATGCAACGTAATGGGGCCAAGCATATAGGATATTGCATTCACGACGGTGGCAAAAAACCAAGGTCTCCAGTGCTCCGTACTCCGAACATGATTGCAGATAGAGGATTTGTAACTGCGGCGCAGGACCAATGACTACTCTCTACGGATGCTCTTCAGAAACCGTATTTCTCCGACGACATCGGGGCGCGCACACAGTGTCCGCTGCGTTATTGCTTCCAATTCATCCGGTTCTTCGTTGTAATTATGCGCCCAGAGCCCAGTTGCTGAGAACAGCACAGGTTTACCTAACCTTCATGGTTCGTATCCAGGATTTGCGTTTGCATGCAGCAGCAAGCAGCGAGGGATCGGTGTTGCCAAGTGGACAATTGCTTACATGGCAGGTGACAGACAGAAGATGATGCGTTGTCATGGATCAACATGAATCTGAGCCACGAACACAGTAAGACCACCATTGTCTGATGTATTCGTGTCGTGGGCCGAGACTAGATTCTCGTCCATTTTCCGTGACCAATTAGTCGTAACGGACCAAGAACCTTGCGACTACGAATAGCTCGTGCCATACGTGCGTCTCAAACGGGTGAGTTCAGGCCGGTAGGATGGCTTGCGGTGCAAGGGTGCAAGCCACTGCCTTGGAATTAGTGCCAACTTCAGGAGTGCGCTTGGCAACGGCGTGTTTTTGTTTCCTGTATGCCATGAACAGACATCTTTGCGATTATAACAAGGATATCTATCCCTTTGCCTTGTTCGTCGCCTTCATCCGTTGCCCCATGTTAAATGATTGCACGACGATCGTCGGGCAATATTGGAAAGCGGAGACGGAAGCGTCGGGAACATACGCCCAACATGGCATTCGTTGCCGTCGTTGCCAATAGCCGTTACGTCTTAGGGCTTACTTGGGTAAAGAAGCCGTTGAGAAACTCCATGCCACTGTCCTTCAATTGGCTGCCTCGGGCTTCTTGCTCCCCGACCTGCCACTCTAGTTCTGTATGTACGTACGTTAAATTAATCACGTATCCGAGTGCAACTGTGGTTAGTCTAACGGGCTTCCCGTTCGGTGTGGATCATAACAGATGCCGATATACTCAATATTATAGACTGGTACCTGAACCGGTGGTGATTGTTCTTTGTTTCATGGTGGGAGAGGAACCTTGATGGGAGACTGGAGTGAGAGATCACTCCGTTTACCCCCTTTTTTTTTTTTTCTTTGGAATTTTTAATTTCCCCGTGTCATTCCTAGTGACACCCGTTTTCTAGAACAAAAAAGGCCTTTCGATCTTCCAGGGTCTTTCCAGAGCATCTGGAAGTCAGTCCCTGTCGCACGGAGGTAACCAGGGATCGAATTTTGTACGACGATTCTGGTCAACCGCTCCAGACCGATCCTGACGCCATCTGCATGTCTTAAGAACTGTCTAGATGCATAACCAAGATGTCCACGAGGGGTTCTTCACCGCTCCTTCGAGGATCCGGTCGCGTTGCAAGGGTGTGAGGATGACAGCGGCAGGTCTGACTGTTCAGGAAATGGAATGATGTTTCAAGCATTAAAGAATGATAATAATGGGCTATCGAGCATGGATTAAACGACGTGCCAAGGAGGCAAAGGTGTGGATGCCTGAAGCTCTGGTCCCGCCGGTCAGGCCTCGACTATTGGACGGTAACGAAGCGGGAGGGACCGTCGTGCCTTGGGTAGGTTTTGTACGGTACAGTCAGACCCCATCCCCGATCACTTACCGAAGGGTGGATACTACTGCCAGCCGACCCACGACTGAATCAGGGTTATCCTGCAGTCCATCTATCCATGGTCAAATCACTAGCAGGAAAGTGGGCGAGAGCGGTCGGAGACGAGGGATCAAACACAGGTACGATAGGTCCATCGAAACACTCAAGACGGGGTCGATATTGCTTGCTGCTGCAATTCGCATGGCCAGACCCACGCTCGGGCTTCACTCCAGTCATTTCGGGGACGTCACCTGTTTCTTTAGACGCCGATATGGTAATGTGGGCGTATCATGATACCGTGTATACTTCCGTACGCCTCGTACCGTATGTACCTTAGTCCGTAGTATTATCCGCGACGACGACTTGCTTGGTCTCCACTTGGCTCCCTCTGAGTCTCGCTCGTCCCGTCCGGTCGCATTTCTTTCCTTTCCCTTCGATTCCTTCTTTTCTTTATGTTCTTTAGCTAGTCTCTCCCTCAACCCCCATTCGAAATTCTACCACTTTTCTTTCTATTCCCCTCATTCAATTTGCTCCCCACCAGTCACTCGGTCTCCCACTTAGTCTACCTGGATCCTAGATACGCTTCAACATTCCATGGAACTGTAGTTACGACCCAAAGCGGGTGACAAACGCCGCTACGGCTACCGGGATTTTCTCTACTTCTATACCCCAGATCCTCCGCACACTAGGACGACTGACGACTTGAACGACGGCACGATTTTTTCTTCTCTAACCCACGGTTTTGCCTGCCATATTCTTCCCCGTTAGGGCATCTTCGACATAACCAATCAACCATATATTATTACCCTGGTCTGACGAACCCCGAGCGAACCATTTCCCCCATGCCCGCCGGTGGAATGGACGCCCTGGGGGCCTTCTCCCACCTCACCGATAATTTGCCCACATGGATTAACCGTATCTCTGATCTGGCCACCCACACCGCCGCCAAACATGCCGAATATGCCGAGGCGTACAAGAAGCTCGCCGTCACACCGGGGAGACCACGTCGACGCAAGAATAGCTCCGTGTGCTCCATCCGGACCGACGACTTGCGGAATGCCGTCACCCAATCGCCGCCCCCTGTAGATGCACCGATCCAGAAAGGCCCCGACACCCCCCAGCCCGCCTCCCAGGACCCGTCGACCCCGAACCCTAACCCTCGAAAGCGTGGCACGGACGAAGCACCATCCGTAGCCTCCGAGGAGAACCCTTTTGTCAGCACTCGATACAACCTAGTGATCCATTACGACGGGGAGACGCAGAAGTCGCTGGAGGAAATGGTGCGGATTATGGGGACGGCCAGGAACAACATTCGGAGGGGAAGGATGTCCCAGATGGGGGCGATGCGGAGTAGTACTCTTAACAGACCCCCTCGGATGAACAGCCCACCGCTTTCTCCTTCTGCGGATGAGTCGGACGATCAGTTGCTGTCCCAGATCCGCAGCAACCGGAATCGTGGGCCTCCGCCACAGGCCCGGGTGATGGCGAAGAACTCACCGTTTGACATGGCGGATCGACAGCTGGAGTTGGCTCATAGTTTGTGTGAGACTGCGGCTTACCAATTCCTCCGGGTGGGTGACTGCTCGGAAGAACTACAGGGGGTGCTGGATAAATTCAAGGCGCTGCTCGAACTGGCCACGGGTGAAGTGCGACGTCTCACGGAGGAACAGGAAAAGGAACGTGCCGCGAAGGAGAAAGAGGCTCCGCACGTGGAATCTGTGCAGTTGACGGTTGGTCCCGCGAGCAACAAGATATCGACATCGGATATTGGAGCGATCGAGGTGGACGACGGGACGGAATCCGAAGAATCGATCGACTTATCTACCTTCCGAGCCCGACGAATGATGATGAGGGCTTAGAAACTACATACCGTGTTCGTGATGCAATACGTAGCGGCGGCATAATCGTCTCCCTGGGTACTACGCTGCGGAGTGTGCCTTGGAGCAGCATCTTTGATTCGAGTTGTTTTTAGCGATGATACCTGACCCCTCCCTTCATTGAGGTTCGAGATTCACTCTCTACTTTTTTTTTCCTTGTCTTGTTTGGTCTCTCCTTGGTCTACCTGAGCGATTGATAATTTCTCCCATTGACATTCATTCGTTCATGACGAACCTGTTTAGCATATCGGACTGGAGAGCGCGGCGTTTGCATTGGCATTTGACATCATTTGTTTTCCTTTCTCCTTGAGAAGTATATTGTTGATCTGATATGCACAGTCAAAAAATCAGAAGTACATACATAGCATAACATATGGAACTCATGCATCTACTCGTATTACACGATCTGACAGTGGACAAAGTTCCAAAGTACCCTGACCATACCATACATACCATACACATAGGATGCAAGCAAAGCCGTCTGGTGGATTTGATAGGCTCGTCTCCCACCCCCCTTTCATCGACCGGCGTCGGGGATAAGCTCGGTTATCCTCTTTCGGGAGTGATTGGCGCGGGCTTGTTCGATCTCTGCCAGTTTACCAGTTTTTCTTTCTACAATACAATACAGTACTCGTTCTCCATGGCACTGCACTGCAAGTACTAGTAGTAAGTAGTAGTAGTAGTAGTAGTAGTAGTAGTATACACATCCACCCACCAACCAAACCAACAGCCCCGACAAAGAATCTATAATGTAACAGTAGTATTGCATTCATTGTCTTGTCCTAAACAAAACCCCTTAACAATGGGAAATACTACTACAAACACTCCGGAGTCCCGTACAGAGTACATAGAATAGATCTCAAAGCCACATCAACCCACAACCAAAACTCAATCAACATCAACGAGTCATATCGCCCGATTCTTCACCCGAAACGGAAGCCACTAATTCATGCAAGACAAAAGTACTGACTTCCTAAACAGGGAATCTCCTGCGTCAATGCGTAATCCTGCGGGATTGATTAGTGAGTGCTGCTCGTGGCGAACGAGTCGCTTACTAGGAAGGTCACTCAGGTCAGGTCTTACTGTGTCTGGGATAGTGGTTACTACTACTAGTAGTAGATGGCCCTGAGAGTTTGTTTCTGCCGAGGTTTACCGTTTACGGTTTACGGTTTACCACTGTACCGGGGTATCGTAGGGGAATACAGGGGGGGGATGTACTCCGTACTTAGTACTAGTATGCTGTACTCTATTACTTTCTGGATATGTGCTAGCTATACTTACTCAGAATTGAGATTCCTATTGTCTAGCAAATATGATTTGATTATAAAAACGAGTCGAGAAACTAAACACCAAAAAGAAATAATAAAAAGAGGAAAGAGAGGACGTACCCAGACAGTCATCACTTAATCTCAGTACGAGTTGCAGTCAATCCTTAACAAATAGAGTAAGAGCCTGAGGTCCTACCACAGGATAGCCACAACAAACACTCCCTACCAATGTCATTCGCTCCCAGACCTCTCCAGAAGCAATGCAATATCCCGATTCGGTTACCCACCTTTCACTCACTCACTCATGTCATGTCAAACAAAGTGAGGGAAACCACAGGAACAAAGCACGAGCTTGATGGGAGTTAAACCCCGCGCCAACTTAAAAGGCTAAAATTACATCCCCCACTATGGATCGAAATAGAGTATTGCGATTATGATTACGATTTATCCCCGCAGCTACCGCTGAGAGGATGTCCGTGTCTGATTCTCACGTGTGTGTCATTCGGGGGGATATTTAGTTATGTAACTATGTTGGTGTTGTTTGGTGTATGTAGAGCGGATTTTGTGGTTTTGGTCCTGGGTCTCACCTTATTGGTATATATATATATCTCTCTCTCTCTCTCTCTCTCTGGGAAGAGAGGTAGCTATTAAAGGAATAGGGGCTGGACCTGGTGCTGATATGGACCGTTGGTTGAGTGGGGAAGACATAGCCTAAATACACAGTATATAGAATTATATATCTTATTATGAATTATTGCTCTGTGACTCTTTACTTACTTTCTACTTAGCTAATTCGCAACGAAGGAAGTGTGAAGCACGAACTTCTAAATAGAAGACTCTGCATAAAGATACTGCCCCTTTCCACTCAGTGACGGGAGGCTGATCACTAGTTGCTCCCTTTTAAGCTGTCTTCTCAGGGAATACCGGTACGCATCAAATGGCAACCAAGAGCGAGCATAGCTTTCTTGCGAGCTCAATTGAATCAAAATCACTTTCCCAGCACCGCTGGTTCGGCATAGATGATATGAAAGTAAAATACGGGTACTCCGTATATCGCCCATATATTTAGCATATTAGGATACAAAGATTGCAAAAAAGAATGGCAGATGGCAGGGTTCGTTTGCTCTGATAAGTGACCTTATACCCGTACACGCCGAACCGATTAATCTAATCCGAGATATCCACATCTAACCCAAATAACAATGCACAAGCACACCTCATAACTCGTAATCAGTATTACTCCGTCTTCTATGCTTATTACCATCACCGCTTGCTCTTAGGATCCGGGAGCACAATGTCATCAACCGCACAGTTGGGATGCAAAACGTAAACGGTGCGGTGGGAGATCTCTTGGTCACCGTCGGCTGCATCAACCAGGCCCTCTCCCCGAATGGGCATGAGGATGTTGTCCTGAGATTAACGGTTAGTCAGGCAAATCAACCAGATAGGGCTGTATAGAGAAACAAACCTTGACCATTCTCCTCAAAACCTTCACCGCCAAACTGCGCTCTCGTTGCAGATCTTCCTCGTTCTCCAGCTCAGATTCAATCTGTTCCAAGTACCAGACAATGAGATCCTCCTCCTCTACACCTTCACCAGATGTAGACTCATCATCGTTGACTCGGCGCACAACGAGGTTCAGAATCTTCATGTATTTATCGAATGTGATCTTAGTCCTTGGACGCGATGGTGCTGGCTGCTCTTCCACGTCCTCACGCATAGGGCTGTCGCCTTCTCGGTCACGTTCGCCGTCACCCATTTCGTGATCCTCATCACGTGCCGCCGCGTTGACAAGCTCTTCATCGTCATCGACTTCTACATCATCCTTTTCAACCGTGACAATGCTCTGCCGGAGAAGATCATACGCTTCTTGCACGAACCTCGGTACAATCTCCTCGACGCAGTTAGCCTTGGCAACAGCTTCGGAGAGACGAACCAAAGACTCCAGCTGGCGCACGGTGATACGGTACGAAGACCTGCCATTGCCGCCTTGGGAGTCATTAGAACGGAGCTCCTTGTACTTCTCAACCAACAGGGCCTTGGCCTCATCAGTGAAGACCGGCCTGAATGTCCGGGCGAATCGAATATAGCGCTGTAACTGTTCGGTACTCAACTCCGGCTGAACGGCTTCGTCGCGGTTCATGTGTACGTTGACGATATGGTCGGCCAAGTTGCGATCGACAGTTTCATTGGGCTCATCCCGGATTACGAAGAACAAATCGAATCTACTCATGATAGGAGCACTGAAGTTGAGGTTGGCGCGCAGGGTGGCCTTGGGGTTGTATCGTCCACCAATAGGATTAGCTGCGGCGAGGATAGATGCACGTGCGTTGAGAGTCGTATGGATTCCTGCCTTCGCAATCGAGATCGTCTGCTGCTCCATAGCTTCATGGATAGCAACTTGATCACTGATGTCCATCTTATCGAATTCGTCAATAGCACAAATACCACCGCCATTCTATGTATCAAAGAATCGTCAGCTGCGTTTAGAGAAAGCGAAGAACTGAGGGAAACGCCTACTGCAAGCATCAGGGCACCGGCCTCAATAGTGAATTCACCGGTCTCGGCATCCTTCACAACCGAAGCAGTCAGACCAGCGGCTGACGAGGCTTTTCCACTTGTGTAGACCGCGCGAGGGTGCAAAGAGCAAATGTATCTAGAATCGCAGTGAGTTACCGGTTCCTATACAATAAACCTTGAACACTTACTTTAAGAATTGACTTTTGCTTGTCGAGGGATCACCAACTATGCATACGTTGATATCACCACGGAGCTGCATGTTCTCCTGTGCTGTATGTTTGCTGACTCCGCCAATTAGTTGCAGAAGCAAGCCTTTTTTGATCTGACGGTGGCCATAAATCATGGGAGCAATGGAGTCCACGAGCCGAGAATAGATATAGTCCGAATGAACGAGTCCTTTTAGGTCCTCAACTTCGTAGGGTGTTAAGGTGTGAAGAAACGCCTCCTGGGCTTTGTCCTCGTTGTCTTCAGGCTCAGTGAGTTGGTTGAGGGAAGCGAGAATGTTATGAGACTGCCCATTCAAGTGCTGATTGGTTTGCTGACCAGGAGTAGTGGTGTCTGGGGTGACCATGCAAGCGAGGAAGGCGAGGCGGTAGGTCAAATCCCTCGCACCAAGAGCTTTCAGACCAGTGAGTCCTCCACCACCAACATCTCCGCTGCGGAATGCAGAGTCATCACGGACGGCCTCAGGTCGCACGCCGGGCAGTCCCAGCTGGCTGACGTCGGGAACAACAATCAAGGTGCCGGTGAAGATACACCGCTCGCCAGCCTTAGCACGATCGACCATCTCACCGCGAAGTATGACATCCATAGTACGGGGCATACTGCCAGTGGGGATCTCATGTGACGATTCTTGTAGTTTGACCTTCTGCCAATCGACAAAAGTGCTCTTCCCAATGTCTAGACGCCAACCAGAGCGGTTTCCGCATGACTGGTTCGGGCATTCTGATGGCTCTGTATACTTGAAAGTCTGTTCAACATCGGGGCACACCGTTTTACAATTCTCACAGATAAAAGTACCTAGAGACAACTCCGGACGAATCTCAGATGTCCGTGTCACAGTGCCAGAGATGGAGAGCAATTTTCCGATCTGTGAGGTTCGGAGTTGGCGCAAACGTGAAACAAGAGGCAAGTTATAGAAAGCGAGCGAGAACAATTTATCTGTCTGCTGGTGCCGTGTCCGCTCCTGGACGTATTCTCCCATCTCATGTTTGTCGGAGATACCAACGCTTGAATTGCCACCCATCATCGATGTGCCGGCATCTGAGTTGACTTTGTCAACTTTGCGATGGTGCGTATAAAAGTCGGGCTCATATTTCGCAATAAGATTGTGCAGTCCCTTGGTGAGGAACGGATGGAATCGGTAGAATTGGTTGACAATGGCGTCCGCTAGGATGGGGTTATCCAGCGAGGTCAGGTGGGTAAAATCCACATAGAGTGTAGACAGCGAATGCTTGTTCATGCCATGGATTTGAGCAATGTAGTATTTGTCGCTGAGGATTTCGGAAGAGGGAGGCGGCGCAGACCATGTGGGTTCCTCCCGGTAAGTCTCAAGCAATTCCTCGAAGGCCTGCTGTACTTTTTCGCCTGCCACATCGACCAAGGGAGGAGGAGCCTTTACATATGGGTTTCGGCGGCGGGTCACGGTCGAGGAATTCGACTCAACGACTTGATCGTCAGGGAAAGCGTGCATATCGCTCATAGGGCCATTACTTTCCGAGGGCGGATGTGGCCGAGAGCTGGGAAGTTGATCTGAGTGAAGACGATGGTCGCGAGTGCCGGCGTTCGAGTCCAGCTCGGATTGAAGAACGGCGTCGAAAAGGGACGACATGGTGGAGGGCGGCCAGAGCAAGGCCGCTATACAGTCGGGTCGAAAGAGCTAATTGAACGTACCCCTTATTGCGTGACAGGGTGATAGTTCCTTAATCAATTGTGTAATTATGGGTGTGAGTGACAGGAGGGGAGCTATATTCAAGTTGCCCTGGCAGTGTGTGTGTGTGTGGATCGAAGGAGCAATAATAACTTTCTTTTTGCAGAAACGCGTTGGAAACGCGAACGCGTCGGAGAAAGGTTATTGCAGTCCGACGTGTAAAGTGGTTTTCGGAATGCTTATCTCATCCATTTCCCAAACAGGACAGTCCATGAGTCAATATCCTCAAACTAGCCAATTCAGGAGAAAGGTCTTCATGCCTGTTGGCGAAGAAGGAAGCGGATCCTTGCCAAGCCAGTGGCCGACAGCGGCTAGGTCCAGGACTCCCCAAAGTATTTTCTTTTCCCTACCAATGGGAAACTACAAGGGTGCTTATTTGGGAGGGCCCAAGCTTCTCACGGCCAATGAAAGATGGTTCTGGACATCTAACTTTCGGGCTGCGCCAACGAGACCTTGTGCTCAGTACCGACCCCACTGGCTCTCATCCCTAATAAGAACCCTACTGGGATGCCGGGGTCATCCTACGCCGGACGTTGATAAGCATAGACTATGGCTGATTCCTTCGGCGCATCTCGATCGTCAATCGTCATTCTCTTCCCCGACCGCAACTTTGCAATGAAATCCTCCGACAAATTGGTTCATTCTATGGAGGTTTTCTCGTAAAGATCTTGTCCGGTATGCACCTCTAAGGAGGTTTAGCTTTTGTCCCGTCAGTCAGATTGCCTGAGTCCACTGCCACTAGGCGGCTCGCAATGTCCGTGGGCACTCCCCCTTTGGTTAATTTGGCACATTCCGATCCAAGCTCAGCGCCGCAAGACTTCTCTCCCGGCTCAGAACAACAAGGTTGGCGTTTTTATCCAAGTTTCTATTTCCTTTCCTTCGCTCACGAAAGTTTCGCAACAGCGACTCCGCAGAATGCCGGTCAACATCCAGTGAAGGTCAAAAGGCGAAGGCACCTACCCACCTCAGACGACCCATCCAAGAATCAAGTTTTCTATTTTGTCGATTCAAACTCTTCTTCCCGAGAAAAGCGAGCACATGTTATGCGCCATCATGTTCAGGAGAAACGAAAACAACTTAAACACACGCATCCTCGAAGCGACTCTGATAAGAGAGTTCATCGCCCTCTTCGCTATCTCTCTTGGCAGCAGAAAAAGTTATTACTGAGTGGCGATGACAATGAAGTCGTTGAATACAGGCGATCTGAGGATGGGATTACCCCTAAAGACATCTCCACAGTACGTCATTAGAGCTACAACACCGTCAATTGCTTTACTAACACCTAGGGGCGTTTCAGATTCCAGCCGGGCCCCAAAGTTCTGCACTTGCTTCCTATTCTGTTTCGCCAGTCACCCTACTTGACGCCTCCGGAAAAGATCCTTTCGATAGCTTGCCCGTAACTTGCACAAGAGAGGATTTTATTTTAATGGATTGTTGGACAAACAGATTGACATATTGGTCAGGCGAGCCTAGACTCATCAAAGACCAAGTCTTCCGGGCGGTCCTCAGCCATCCCCTGCCTTTTCAGTCGGTTGTCCTTGCATACTGCGCTCGTTGGAGGGCACAGGCATACGGCTTAAAGTGGAGCCCTGAGGTGGAACAGCACTTAGGGAGAGCCACAAAGGGCATTGAACAGGTGATGAAGGGCGACATGGAGATCGATACTGATAGTCTAGCAATGGCTTTGACGGGGATGGCCATACAAGAAGAGAGATTCGGCAGCAGGCAGCACGCTAGAGGATACGTAGACCAGGCTGTCCAGATCCTCCGTTCCAGATCGGGATCCCATCGTGTTGCTGAGGCACTGTTGCATTATGTGCAATTTATGTTGATGCCGCTTCATCCAGCAGTTCCCGGAGATGGCCAGCAATGGCTGGTCACTTTCCTTCGGGGAGCCGAAGACTTGATGCTAGAACATAGTTCCGATGCGTATTTGTCGTCAGTTCCCCAGCGTCGCTCTGCATTTCGAATGGACAGCCCTTTGTTTCCGCTGCTGTCCAGCGGACCTCGTCCTTCCCATGTCCCCCATCAGTCACGCATATACATTATCACGAAGAATGCGCCAACGCAGGAGCTCACCCGTACTGCGGCTCTGATATACATCACAGCCGCCCTCTGGGATTTCCAGGGTTCTCCCAGCAAAACCGGCCGGTTTCTTGACCATCTGCGCGCGACTGTGAAAGATCATGAACTCGACAGGTTTCCCGCGTGCGAGTCCTTCGTGTGGCTCCTCCTACTCGAAGGATATGAAGCCGACCTACAGGAACCCGAGAGAAGTTGGTCGACGAGCGAGCTGTTGAAATTGTATAAACAGCTTCGACCGGAACTCCAGTTCCTTTTCAGTGAAATTCTTTTCAGCCTCCTGATGCTCACTCCACCGATCCGGGGGATCGATGTATTTGAAAGTGAATTGTACAGCTCTATGCCAGAGGTCCAGGAAGAACTCTGAGCTACGCCCAAACCGGGCTACTGTTTTGTTCATGTACATTTACTCTTCTGACCTCTCAGAACGCGACAACATTTCGACGGCTTGCAGGCAGCCGTGCGCCTATCTCATCTAAGCCTTTGATTCTTGGATTAAATTTCTTGTATATACTACAGCTGATACAAAGGCAGATGCCAAGCCATCACTTTCCCTCAGTACGGCTCCCAAATACCCTGCACTTAATAACTATGGAGCGTGTATTGTCTTACGCATACCGACCGGAGACCAGTACGAACTAGAATTTCTCTCGCGAGGGATAGGAGACAGTGGGGCGTTTTCTGTACATTATGCTTACTATTGTTAAGGATATGCCGTGCTTTCTGGGAAGAACTTGAAACATTCAGCTGCAGAGACACCTATCATGGCCGCCTCGTCGTAGTATAGAGACCGAAATGCCATCACACCAGACGAGATTCTCATGACTGTTGAGAAGTGTAACACCTGGCAGAGAAGCTGGAGATAAATTACCCCCATCTCTGGGAGCACCCGGCCTCCAAGACTGGTATTAGTTATCCTAATACTAGTAGTCAGCGAGGTCCGAAAAGGAAATATATATATCTTCAACAAATCAGAATACAGTTAGTCCCAGTAATTTCATTGCGAGTCCTTGGCAGACTTCATTCACATGATATTCACCCCGTCTATCCCTGCGTGCAGCGGGTTCATGTCTTCCCCAACAACTCGTCTCCATGGGACAAGTCACTTGTGCATTCCATGAGCTTTACTCCACACCAAGTCCAGCAACCAGGCATTGAAAGACAGCCACTAACCCGACCACCCGACTCTCCTACCTTCTATAGAAGGCAACGACTGATCTCTAGAAAATCAAAGCAGTAAACCAACTCCCCATCGAACCATAAGAACAGCCCCCTGCAATCACAGTCAAGCCAAGACCCTCGTCCCAAGATGATATCACGATGATCTCCTACGCCAAAAACAGGCAAACCGTGGCTGTGGCAGATGACGTTTCAAACGCAACCTTAAAAAGCATACCAGGCTGGACGTGTGGCTTGACCGATCGGAACTGTGCAAAGCGAGCCAAGATCGGTCCATCCAAGAAACAACCAGATAAGGCAGTGGAGCCACGGTAGGTCACACGGTAAGGCCATGAACGTGTACTGTGTAAGCGTCAGAAGCAGCGTGGACCATGCTGTGGACCATGCTGTGGACCTGTTCATTGTCGCTACTGGGTAGCGAGCAACATTGTACCCATGAGGCGTTCGTGGTTCGCACTAGGCATGACTACATAGTAGTAAGAACGATTTTTAAAGGAGGTGATAGGGCCGTAAAGTTTGTAAGACACTGGCTTGAACTGTCCGTAGACGTTCTATCTTGAAAGTTATTTGATCATTTTTGATTGAGTTATTCGTATTGATAGTCGTAATCCCACGGACGGGGATACTCGGTCGGGGTAGGATGACTTCATGCAGTCGGGTTTTAATTGTGTGGCTGGTGCAGAGGACACGGGAAGGTGTTTGATCAGCAACAGGTTTGATTGGATCGGTGCAGCTTAGGCCAGTGGCAAAACGCAAACAGGCAGCAGCACTAGCCACACCATGGTACTACGTAGCGGTAGTAGTAGTACGGAGTCGATTGCTCGAGTTCTGTTACGCCAGATTACACCCGTACGGAGTACATACAATGTGGCTGTGGGAAGTGTTTCGGAAAATGAACCCCAAGACAAAAGTGAGGTAAAGGTGTTGAAGAACTCACCCCATGGATGTGTTTCAAATTGTTTTCACTGCAGGTACTGGACTAATTTATCGTAACATACCATGGTTTGTACATGTACAGTACAACTGCTTCCTTGAGGTTTGTGCTTCGAGGCAGCGGTACCAGTACGGTAAGGTACAGGAACAGGTACCCGTTCCTAGGTGCCGGGTACATAAACACGCAAGGTCGGCCCTCCTGTAGTTGAGGTACCCATGGGTGTAGTTTGGGGTAATAAACTGTACCTGGGAACCTGAGTCAGGAGGTGTTGCCACAACGTTGTGTTGAATTGACAGAGAACGGGTGGACATTTGGTTCTGGGAAAAACAAGAAAAATTACAGAGAGTTTTCTTTTGACGCTAAAGATGATCTATTGAGCCAAGTCATCCACTTCAGAACCCAAAAAACGTTAGTGTAGCTGCTCTTATCTGGTGTGGGATTTCAAGGTTTCCGAGGGTGGCATCATCGATCATATCCTGCATGGTTTGATGGCTACCACAAGAGTACTTCGGGGTATGTACGGAGTATAATAGGACAGATTATACTCCGTACATTGACGTGATTCTTCCCCATCACACATTTTGAATTGAGCTGATCCTTCTTCTCTTTTGAGAGGACAGTTTATGGCTAAACAGTTTGTTGCGGTACCGTAAAATTAGAAACAGGAGGAAGCCCACAAAGAGTTCTTAGTGTTTAAAATTATTTAATTTTAAATTAGCGCTACAAGCTGATCGGTTACGGAGTACTTATGATCAGTGAAATTCCCGCCGGCCTCACGATCGCATCTCAGATCCATGTTTCACTCGTCGCAGGTTATGGTGCTGACTGGCTCTGGTGTGCATTGGTCCCACGACGATTGTCACTAGTTACCAACGATTCCCCAGTAAAGCTGTGTGCCCAAGGTACAAAGCATTTTCAGCTCGGGGCATCTACGTAAGTGTCTCCTCCCTCCTGAAGAACCACCCCATTGATTTCTCATTCTTGGGAGTCCAATTGGCATGCCTTTTCGTCTTTGACTTTCCTGACGAAGGATCACCGTAGCCAGGAAAGGAAACGAAAATCAAGAGGAAAAAAAAATAAAAATAAATAAAAAAAAATAAAAAATAAAAAAATAAATCAAAATAAATAAAAACAAAAATTAAAATCAGCCCCTCCTTGTCTACCTTTGGTGTGATCCTCTTGTATCATTCTTTTCTAATCTCCCTTTCTCCAGCTGGACTGATACACTAACGACTCTCTTCCCTCTTTTCTTTCGCTTATCTTTTTTCTAGACATTATCCACCTTGCTTATTTTTCATTTTTCTTTCCCTCCCAAAATCCTCATTCCAACTCGATTCTGATACCGACGATCTCTCATTCAATTGCGGCAAAAACCCGCAGCGAGTTGCCTATCGCATCTTCCTGACTGCCCTATCCCCTGAATAAACATCAACTTTTGGGCGCTTCGACGAGGGCAGCATTGGAACGAGAAACTATACCCAGCCGTAATGGCGTTCTCCGATGTTGGCCTGAGGGGCCTCCATCACCTCGTCCGACGGGTGAGTTGCGACTGCTGAACGATCAACTTGATCGGCTCTGGGCGTGGGCACATCTAACAATACGCAGGACGACAGTGATGACCCCAGCAATACTCCGCCGACGGCATCGGCACTCGTCTCAACTCTTGTGCCGGCCTTGATATCGGCCGGAGCGATGGTTCTGATCTTCCTGATCCTTCGTCGCAGTCAGCGCCGGATGTATATGCCGCGAACATACCTAGGAACCTTGCAATCTTGGGAGCGTACTCCTCCCACCTCTACTACCCCATGGGGTTGGATCATTGACATGTACAAATTGCCCGATGAATACGTGCTGCAACACCATTCGATGGACGCTTACCTTTTGATTCGCTTCCTTAAATTGGTATCCATGATATGCTTAGTGGGCGCCTGCATGACGTTCCCTATCTTGTTTCCCATCAATGCTACTGGAGGTGGGAATAATGTGCAATTGAATATTCTGAGCATGTCCAACGTCGAAGAAAGCAAGTATGAGCGTTACTTCGCGCACGCCTTTGTCGCATGGCTCTTCCTTGGTAAGTTTTTGGTGGGATTTTCCAAGCACTTATGATCATTTAATCTTACATATCGCTCTTTCAAGGCTTCGTCATGTATACCGTTACACGTGAAAGTATCTTTTATATCAATTTGCGCCACGCCTACGCCCTTTCCCCAGCCTACGCCAGTCGGCTTTCGTCTCGGACCGTGCTGTTCACCGCTGTTACTCAGGACTATCTCAACCGTGACAAGATTCGCAAAATGTTCGGTACTGACAAAGTGAAGAATGTCTGGATCTCTACCGATACATCCGAATTGGACGACAAAGTGAAAGAGCGTGATGATGCTGCCATGAAGCTCGAGGCTGCGGAAACAAAGCTTATCACTCTCGCGAACAAGGCACGCCTCAAGGCCATGAAGAAACAGGGTTCTGTTGAAGACGGCCCCCCGACCCCCAGCGAAGAACCCAATGACGAGTCGGGCTCAGTTGCAGCCCGCTGGATTAAACCGTCCGAGAGGCCCACGCACAGACTCAAACTACTCATTGGAAAGAAGGTTGATACGATCAATTGGGCCCGATCTGAAATTGAGCGCCTGGGTCCTGAGATCGAAGAGCTGCAGGCCAAGCACCGAGCTGGCGATGCAAAGTTGGTTTCCTCGGTTTTTGTCGAATTCTATCATCAGGCGGATGCTCAGTCTGCCTATCAGTCTGGTACGTTTGTTCGCTGTGCTCTATTTTATATCTGCTATTATGGTGTCGCAAGAATGGTCTAACGTGCGATCACAGTGGCCCACAATCTGCCTCTTCACATGGCTCCCCGCTATATCGGCCTGGAGCCCACTCAGGTTATCTGGTCTAACCTCCGTATTCGGTGGTGGGAACGCGTCATTCGGAACTTCGCAACTGTCGCATTCGTTGTCGCCCTCATCGTCTTTTGGGCAATTCCCACGGCCGTGGTTGGTTCCATTTCGAACATTACTTTCTTGACCGAGAAGGTCCCTTTTCTTAGGTTTATCAACGATGTCCCAAGCTGGATTCGGGGTGTCATCACTGGTCTTCTACCTACTGTTCTGCAGTCCATACTGATGGCTCTGGTGCCAATCATCCTGCGATGTAAGTTCCTTCCACAAAGAGTTCACTTCTGAATGGTCACTCATTGTTGTTCTAGTAATGGCCAAGCTTGGTGGTGCGCCAACCGCCGCGGCTGTCGAGATGACCACCCAGAATTTCTACTTCGCGTTCCAAGTCATCCAAACATTCCTGGTTGTCACTATTGCGTCTTCCGCTTCTAGTGTGGTCTCGGATATCATCAACGATCCTACATCTGCTGCGTCGCTCCTGGCTAAGAAGATCCCACAGGCTTCCAACTTCTACATATCTTATATCATCTTGCAGGGGTTGTCGTTCAGCGCTGGTGCGCTTCTTCAGATTTCTGGTCTAATCCTGGGCAAGGTTCTGGGCACGTTGTTGGATAATACCCCCCGTAAGATGTTCACTCGTTGGTCCTCACTTTCTGGTCTAGGCTGGGGAACGGTATACCCCGCGTTCACCTTCCTGGTAGTCGTCGGTAAGTACTCTCTGTTCACGTTTCGATATGGAATGCAGCTAATTGCGCCTGTTTGTGAATAGCTATCACCTACTCGTGTATCGCTCCCTTGGTGCTCGGGTTCGCGACCATTGGTCTGTACCTGTTCTACTTCGCTTACCGGTACAACATGTTGTATGTATCCAATGCGGACATTGACACTCAGGGCAAAGCCTATACACGCGCCTTGCAGCATATCACCGTCGGCTGCTACCTGCTGAATGTTTGTCTCATTGGTCTCTTCGCCATTGCGACCGGTGCTCGCAGAATTGCTCTCGGCCCTCTCATCCTCATGATCATCTCCCTTGTTGTCCTGGTCATCTACCATATTTCTCTGAACCAGGCGCTGGATCCTCTCATCAACTATATCCCAAAGAATCTGGAAACAGAGGAGGAGGCCCTTCTGATGCAGGAGAAAGGCGAGCACACAGATGATGCCGGCGCCAGTGCCCCTGGAAAGGAGGGCGTTGACAACGGTGTTACCAACGTTGATTCGGCTGAGAAGGGCCTAACCGGACCAGCTCCGGCGCCCAAGGTAAACTTCTTGACCAAGTGGTTGCGCCCCGACAAATACGATGGCTACACCCAGCTGCGGCGTTTTGTCCCCAATTCCTCGGCTATCACAACTTATACCCCCGAAGTTGAACGCGACGCATATTTCCACCCTTCCATCACCTCCCAGCCACCTCTTCTTTGGATCCCTCGTGATCAAATCGGCGTGAGCAAGCAGGAAATAAAGCATACCTCGCGGGTGATTGCCATCACCGACGAGGATGCGTGGTTGGACGAGAAGAACAAGATCCACTGGGACATGGATAAGGGTGTTCCGCCTATCTATGAAGAGAAGATCCACTACTAGTCACTCCATTTGAACTCTGACCCACATTCTGCCGAATCAGAGCATGTCTTGGCAAGAATGTTTTCCTTCTGTTTGATACCCACGTGGCCGTTGCTGGTCTCAGCAGCGCCCTGAGATATGATGGCCCTGACCGGTCTGTTAATACTTAATTTATATATGAGCTGCGATTACGATGGACGTTTTGACAGAATCTGTGATGTTGATTAGTTGATGTCTTGAATATGATCTGTGGTTCTTGTATTCCTCGAAGTGGCTTTCGCCGCTCAATCAAGGTGCTAGTGATGTTTAGCAGTTGTAGATGTACAGTAAATAATGAAGTATCTCCAAACTGCTACGATAAGGTGCACTTACACGGAAACGATTCACACAGCTCTCTAAGCCTCGCTCGATAGATCTCATCCTAGCTATCCAGTGTCAGCGGAATGGTGTCGTGACATTTTATTTTCTAGAGTAAAATCATGTCTCCTTCACGTAACCCAACTACTAATTCGACTTACACTCCATATATCCCTCGCATCATCACATCCGATCCCTTACATCAACCCAAGATACACAAATTAAAGACCTCATACACGATACCAAATGCAACAATGAGACCATTTATCCCCGATCAAAAAACAACAAGGAAATCCAAGAATACGGCTCCGTTTTCGGAGGACGAATAGACCCAAGCACTATAGTTGGACTGGATTGATTGGCGAGACCACATACGTTTTACTTCATTGGGTGAGCTTACGATGAGTAAAATTTGTTCGTGGGTGAGTCTTAACAAAGCCATTCCTGTTATCTGTGATAATACTAAAGAAATGATTTATATACCAGGGCTAGAGCATTCTCATATCCTTACTTGCGCTCAATTGAACGTGGATGGGATCGGAAAAGAAAACAACGACAATGCATGAGTGGTGACGTGTATCCTGACACTACCTATGTAAATCCATTCCTCCAGGGTATACGAACTAGGACTTTTGAACCAGCTACCTGTGCGAATCAATCTCCAATCTCCTTCGGTATAAAGCGGTATTAATCGATATAGAAGATTATTAGGGAAAAGAAAGTAAAGGAGAGAAACAAAAAGGTCATATCATGCCTCGCTCGCCTCCAATGCACTCGTTAACTGGTCCAAATGCTGCTTCATCTCCTCACATAACCGTTCATGCCGGCCATGGGCATATGGGAATTTCTCCCGACACAACGCGTCCATCAATCTGGACAGACACATCCCCGCGCGCTTTAGTTCCCTGAGGAAGATGCCCTCGCAGATAGCCTTCTGCTCGATGAAGTCTATCTCGAACACGCCGAAGCGGATCAGGCGCTCCGCACAACCCATGGACTGATGTGCTTCCGACCGCAGTGTGAAGTCGCGGTATCCGAAGCTGAAGAGGGTGATGATTTTGCTCAAAGCAACGGTGAACAGCAGGTGGCCGTCATACATCTGCTCGAAACCGAGGCTCTCGGTCAGATGTAGGAGAGTTGTCAGGTACTGCTGGTTGGCGGCCAGGACGGCGTCGAGCGTATGGTTCTCCTTCGTGCGCTGTCGCCCCATGAGGAGTGTCTGTTCAATGTTGTGCAGCAGTTGGAGGTACATTGTGTAGCTCGTTTCGGGGCCCATGTTTGCCAGAGCGCTGAGCGGGTATATTCCTTCGTCAGCGAGGTACTCAGGTGGAGTTGCGGGCTGCCGGATCGAGGTCGTGCAAGATCGACTGGGGTCGCAGCTGCCGTTGGCGACGTTCGTCTCCATCTCCCAGTCGTGGCTGAGGCGACGATCGAGACTTAGGGAGCCTCTGCTTGCTGAGATTTCTAGTCCTGGGGTTGGGAGGCTGTTGGCACTGAGGGGCTCCAGGTCGGAGGACCAGCAGAAGTTGGCAGGTTCTTGGAGGCCCAGGTCGATATTGGGACCCAGAGGATGGGCTATATGGTGTGTTGAAGTGGGTACTGTGTCTGCGAGGGAGAGACCATCCTGTGCACAGCCATCCCCAGAGTAAAATTGCATGCTGCTCGAATAGCCGTGCACCATCACCGGGGTGATTATGGGATCTACGGCGAAGTTGGACGGGGCATGGCGTGCTGAAGGAGTCATCCCTTTCCCGCCTTCATCCTTGATAGCGTGTGAAAATGGCTTAAAGGATGAGATTACCTCATTTGTGGATTCCAGGCGAGAGGGCGACGTGCGCGATGTGGATGATGGGGGAGCGGTAACGGCGGCGGCGGCGGCGGCTGCTGCTGCGGCTCGGTTGGCTTTGCTTCGTTTCCCAGGCACCTTCCCAATCCTTGAGATCGAGAAGATACAGTTCAGGCTAAGATTAGCGCAGCGTTGACAGCCGGTTTTCTCTCCTGAGCAGCGGACCTACGGACGAGAGTTATGTCTCATGTTTCTATGCAAATATATCTGTGCTTTCCCGCTTACCTTAGCGGCATGACACTCATTGCAGGCAGCACGAAGCTTGGGTGGCCTCTTGGAGATGGTACGGGCACTATGAGGAGGTGTCAGCTTATTTGATAGGCAGAAACTGACTATGGGGAAGTACTCACGATGACATGGTTAAGATGGCCTCGGATGGCATGGACAGAACACGGAGCGAAGGCAAGCTAGGGCCAATAGTTCAGGCAGGAAGCACAGTGTTGAGGATGGAAGTGACGATAGGTGTACCAGAGCCAGAGGTATCTGAAGCTGCCTATGTATCTCTGTGATGTATAGGCGAGGCTGACACTCATCACCTTAGGCCTCAGTCTTCCATAGACCGGTAGGGTCCCCGGGCCACGCAACACCAATCCAAGGTCATTAGGGATGAGATAGACCAACGAGAGGAAGACGTTAATCTATAAAGAAAAATAAAAAGGCCAATACAGAGAGTCAGTCCATACCTCAGTGACCAAGTGAGCCATACAACGATTTTGCAGCGGCAGATCCGCCTCCGCCATTGGATAAAAATAGCAGGGGCCACATAGTCCGCTGAGGACTGACTACCTGGAACGACGCATCTTATACTGAGTTTCAAATTGCACCAATCCGTCTCTGTGGTTCGCCTTGAGCTTGCGAGGGTCCATCTTTCCCTTGCGAACAGCCAACACAAGAGAAAGTCTAGATTCGGGGTAATTGGTACCTAGGTAAGTATCTGCCTGGCCTTGATAGCTCACCTAATTAAAGGCCACCGGCTCGAGCTCAGTCCTCTGCCCGGGTACATCGGCCATGATCTCTGACGTTTCGCGATATGCTGTGCCACCATCGCGGCTCCGTAAGTGGAGGATTGACAATGCAGCGTGACCTGCCAGCTTAGGTAGAGTGCAGGACAAAAGACTCGAGCAAAGCAGAAGGATTCGATATCAACGTGACACGCTGCTGACATCCCACCAGTATGGGTTCACTGGTCAAGCATCGCAGGCAAACTATCCAATGACAAACGGTCCACAAGCCGCTCGATGCTCTGGCCGCAACCAGGATAACGTTCATTCTTACTAAATGACTTGCGATCACGACCGCTGCTCCTGCCTTATTCAGCCACTATCGATCCGGTTCAGTGTGCATGCAGCCTCACCGGGAAACCACTTAGGCGCCTGCGACCCTCATAACGGTCTTGCTAACCAGTTTTGTATATCTTTGTCGTGCCGCGTCGTCGAGAGTACAGTGTCATCATGGCACGGAACTCGAGTCCAAAGCGCTGGCTAGCCCATGGACAAGTCCGAAGATAAGATCGTCACCTATGGCCCATTGTTCCCTTTCCATCCCTGGTCCGATCTGGACCCATCCTCCGATAGATCCGGCGTAGCTCTCCCCGCACGTCGTACTCGGATGTCATTTCCACGTATGTGAGTCGATGCTACGGGGCGCCGCCTGGGTGGCTGGGCTACGAGAAGCCCGGGTGAGCCATGTATATCAGGGCGTACACTCCTAGCCCTGGGATAAACCATCTCGCAATGCGATATACGGTGACGTGGTGTCTCGAGAGCACTATATATATAACCAGTGTCAAGTTCCGCCTATCGGGACTTCGTTATCATATACAAAAAACACTCGCTCAATTGCAACCCCCCCACAAAAAGAATACAATGACATGTATCTCCACTTCACGATTACTTTATCGGCACCGACCCCTCCACCATCCATAAGCACAGAATGACCCTCACTCCAAGCACAATAAAACCGTTACCTAGCCCTACACTGTGCAACCCAACCAACCCCTAGCTAGCCCAAGTTCACCCTATGCTTCACACGTCAGAACCAAGGGACCGCTGCCCTCGCTCTCAGGACAAGAGACCCTTTGCAAGCCAAAGCGGGGTACAACGAAGAACAAGACCACCCGTTCCACGTCCCTTTTCGTTCAGGACCAATTCCGAAACCGACCATATCACTATACCCACAGGAGGCGATCCGACCCCAGCAGAGCCACGGTAATACGACGGGTGCAATTGGCCAAATAAGTGAATTCAATTTTCTGCCGTGCAGCCGTGGATCCTGTTTTTCCGGGTTGTCGTTGATGATGATTTCAATTCCGGCATGGTAGTGATTTTACCACCGGAACTTGATGTAGTATACTTATTATATCTGTATGATATGTTCTGCATGCAATCACCATAGAATAGAAGGACTAGTTACTAGACCCCCTTGCCACAAGACAAGATCTCCAAACCCCTCAGGGTATAACATCATACCCAAAACTCAATGCATAAAAACAGATAGGATTAGCACACGGAACACGCCGTAACCCCCTCCAAAGAAACTCAAACTCACAACCCAAAAAAACCCTCACCAAGTGATACCATCACAAAACAACCCCAAAAAAGAGATCACAAGTCCCCCTAAAATTCACTCCTCCTCAACAACACCGCTTTTGCATCATAACGTACGATCAGCGCGATGATCGCCTAAGCCACGGACGCCTGATTGGCTCACACCGCACCCGGTTAGGGCTTTCCGTGGCCTGATCACGGGTCACAGGACCGGGATCGCCACACCGGATGATCGCGTTCCTGGAGTCCAACTTTCGTCACTGGGTGTGAGTTGAGAGGGGATAGGTGGTGCGTTGAGGGAGGTGGTTTTGCTTCATAAGGATGGGGTCGGCAGGGTTGCTGTCCAATACATTACTAGTCTTGTTCATATTCACGGCTACATCTACTACTTCCATATCCACTGCTATCTATTTTCTTGTGTGTATACAGTATATGGTTTATCTTGACCTGTACCTCTATACTATACTACTATACGTTTACCGATCAAAGAGTTATTCATTCGGTCATCGATAAGACCATCACTACAACTACACTACAATCACAACGCCAAGAGGCAGAGACGGAGCAAAATGAGCTTCACAAAAAACTTGACCCGAGCCCTAAACACCACCCCCCTACGCCAACAACGCAGCACAGCCACTTTCCCTTACGCAACGCACGAGCCCCTTGAATACACACTCAGCAGACTCTCCTTATCGAAAATCAAGCAGGAGTCTGCCCGGCCAGAGCCCGACCTACGTCATGTCGTCGGGTATGCGTCGGTGAATCGCGCCGCGGGGGATAAGATGTATCAGAATCTGGTGCGGGGGGTGGAGCTTCTACGTACGGAGAGGAAGGCGAAGTATGCTGTTGGGAGGAGTAAACTTTCTTCTTCTAATAGTTCCGCCGGTGTGAAAGGAAATGGAGTTGGGGATGGGGGATTGGGGGTACTTCGGACAAAAGAGGTGGTGGAGACGAGATGTGTTGGGGGGAGCGAGTTGGAGGGGAGGGGGCGGCGGCGGAGGAGGAGCTCGAAAAGGTTGAGGGAGGAGCGGGTTTAGTGGTTCTAAGGATGGAATAGGATGACTATGAGTTATGAGGTTATGCTTGTATTTTCCATGGGAATTTGTGTCTCTTGGTTTCTTGGGTTGGCGTTTTGGCTGGATCGGAATGTGCTTTTAATGGTTTAAAGACTGATGGCAAAAACGTTAAACTTGGCGTTCGCATTGAGCGGTACATTGTATAAGTCTTTGAAAAATATGTCAATTCATTTGAGTTAGGACAATACGGCAATAGGGTTTCATCATTGATGTATTAGCGGGATTGTAATTGCAAACCTCTTCGTAAACATTAGACTATGAAAGAAACAGCAGTGTAAACCTCTCAGTTCGGGATTGCACACACGGACGAGCGCCCCGACAAGGAGTCCACAGCTTCCTGGATCTCCAACCAGTTCTGAGTCTTCGGCCGCTGTCGCTTCCAATCAGTATCGGTAGCTTCAACCCCGGTAGGACCTCCCATCGGCAGCAAAAGGATACGAGACTGCTTGATGCTGATCACCGTAGCTGAGTTCTCGTCGTTCGTGATCTCATCCGGTGATTGACCTGCGAAAGTCTCCAAATGTTCCATGCACTTGACGGCTAACCGAAACGCGCGAATACGGTCGATGGGTGAGACTTTGCCACCCTGTTGGAAGTGCCCTGGCACCACGCCCTGCGCATCAAAGCGATTCTTGGCTTCGTGTTTGATAATATTTGCAATCTCTGTTGTACTGTATATGGTGGACGTCTGGTCATTGCGGATGATCAGCTTGCCCGAACGATTGGCGCCGTGATCCTTTAAGAACTGTTTGCGGAGGTACTCAATGTCGTTAGAGAGGCTCTGGAGAGTTATTCCTCGATCAGGCGTATACACGGTCATCGCTCCCGCGGCCAGTGCAGCAGCTGTCGCCTGGTACTCGGCCCCTTGCGCTTCAACAACAAACACGCTGTGCCCGGACGAGGACGCAGATTGCCGGACGACATCGCAGAAATAAACAAGTGTGTTAAGGCTGGTATCGCTTCCAAGGGAATATTCCGTGCCGGGAACATTATTCGACATACTTGCTGGGAGCAGAACAAGCGGAATCCGGAAAGCAGGATATTGCTCACGCGCCTTGCGTAGTTGGCTGACAGCTGTAAACGCTTCGAAGCCTCCTATAACGAAGAGTGCATCGAACTTATACCGCTCAAAGCATTGAGCTGTCGTTTTGATATCGTCTAACGGTAGTCCCGCGTTGGTACCAATGTCAGACCCGCCATCGTTGATCCAGTCACCAGACTCCAGCCAATGCATTTCACGAACCGAGCCAGGGGTATCGTCATGGTGCCGACAGAGACCAGGGAAACCGTTGTGAATGGCGATTGGGGTGTGTCCTCTAGTTAAACAATAGGCGACTACTGCGCGCGTGGCTGGATTCATGCCTGCAGCTGGGGCGCGACGTGAATGATGGCAATCCGCATGCGCTGTAATCTACATTAGGCTCAATTCGTGCACAACTGAGCTTGGTAGGAACATACCTTATCTTCGGGCAAGACCATCTTAGGATGATCACTCGTGTTCAGATGTCGGTACGCGCTATGATATTCCATGAATTCGGGATCCCGAAGTGTTGCTGCTTTCTCGAACTCTTTGGCATGCATACTGGCATTAGCCTCCTTCGTCAGCGCAACAGTTTCAGCCAGAGACGAGGTTTTGATTCTATTTTCCTGGATAATCACCACCGGAGAGGGCGAGTCAGGAGTCATAGACAGCACTGCTTTGACGGCGTGGATGCCTTGTAACGTTGACAGCCAGCGGTCATATGCACACGGGGATCCGCCTCGTTGGATGTGCCCCAGAACGGTGACGCGGGTATCGAGCCCTAGACGCTTGCTAAGGACATCTTTCACGGCAGCCGACGAAATGCGATCCAAGTTGCTGTCCTGGGCTCCTTCCGCCAGAATAACGATAGTGCGACGTTTTCCGCGGTTACGATTCTAGTATTGATGTGTTAATATGTCAGCCTGTCAAGGTGGATGTAGCAGGAGAAAGAGTAAGGACGGCAGTACCTTGGTGATTATCGAGCACATATCATCTTCCCAGCCATCTCGCGGAGGCCTCTCCGGGATAAACAACCAATCTGCCCCAGTTGCGATGGCAGCCATCAACGCCAACCAGCCACAGTGTCGGCCCATAACTTCGACGACGAAGCCTCGGCGATGGGAGGAAGCTGTATCAAACACTGCATCGACCGCCTCGCAAATTCGTGTTAACGCAGAATAGCATCCAATGGTGGCATCCGTGCCGGAAAAGTCATTGTCAATAGAGCCGAGCAGTCCAACAATATTCAGATTCTGATGAGGTGCGACTTGTGCCACAGTCAAAACACCCGTTGAGACCAGCTCATTGAGTAACTCTGACCATTCCGACCGAAAGAGGTCTGCCCCGGTCAAACTTCCGTCTCCACCACAGATGACTAAGGCGTCAATACCGAAAAGCACCATGTTTCTCGCAGCCTGGAGACGACCTTCTCGTTCGCGGAAACGATCACAGCGCACAGAGCCAATGAGTGTCCCTCCACGCGATAGGAAGCCTCGAACGTCTTCCCAATACAGAGGATGCATCATTGAACCGCCCTGGATGAGTCCCTCGTAGCCTTCGTGGATTGCCCATGCTTCACAGCCGTTCTGGATTGCTGTGCGGACGACTGCGCGGATTGCTCCATTCATTCCCGGAGCATCCCCTCCTGATGTCAGGATGCCAATGCGGCGGGGTTTGCGTCTTGAAGAATAACTATCTAGTATGGAGTTGGTCATGGTGTAGATCTAGTCAAAGATCACAAGAAATTATAGGTGTGAGTGATGTCAATACTAATACAATGAGGTTGTGATAAACTGGACAACAGATCCTTGGAGGCAGCAAGATGACTGACTTTTATCCGGGATGGAAAACAAGGTAAGATATGAAATCTCCGCATACTGCTGTGCCTGATCCCACATCCCGTGATGGGCTGATGGCAGTGGGATTCCCTTTGTTCTCACAGGCCAATATGGTCCGATGTGGTACTCGGGCAATGGCAGACGTGGGACAAGCGAATGAATGAAAGATGCCTAAGCTAATCATTGTCCTGTTTGTGATAGTGAACCACCCAAGTGTTCGCATTCACTCATGACTAGGACTCAGTGGGGATCACAGCACAATTTGCCACGCTAAATCAAGAAAAAGGAAAACAACATGACAGGGGATCAGGAACGGCGTAGCTGCGTAGAAGATATTCATTAGTGTAGCTGCGGACGGGGACCTCCGAACCTTTCCGGAACCCCCAATTGTCTAACCCTTTCGGCATACAAAACCTTGTCATTTGTCTGGACCCCTCGATCTGGGCATTGATCCTTCGACTTATTACGGAAGACTGTGTGTGACGAGTACAAACGCTGGCGCTATATTACGGGCAAATATGGGACCCGAAGGACGCTAAAATCCGAGGCGATTTCTACACAGTACGCACACTGATAACGACAGTAATCACCCATGGGGCATAGACTAGTTATGGCCCGTTGGTGTCAATCAGTGCTCCACAATGAACCCACACAACATGCGACTCTAATCTAAGCTCGCCGCGTCATGGGGTATCGGTATGCCGATGGATTCCTGTGTCCGAAATGAAGACAACGTGACCGACGGCGTGATACCCTTGACTTGGGAATCGCGCCCAAAAATTAATGCTCCGATAGAAACTATTCAATGACCGTTGTGCCAATAGACTGGATCATTAGACTTTATGGCTTGAGAGAGATGTCCCCAAAACGCCACAATACCCTCTAAATATACATGGATGAACTAGAATCGTGCGAAACCGAAACTCCTGGTATGGCGTTTACTTTTCAACCCGGAACTCAAATGACCGGTCGCGAGCCTCTATAGAGACTGGCTGAGCATCATCGTCGTACAATGTACGTTCAAAGAACCGGACTCGCCCATCGAACCCCACCAGAATGACCGTCTGCTTCTGTGTCGCATATAGACCCTCCAGGTATGCACGATTGGGTGTCCCCTCGGGAGTAGACGGTAGGACTGGACTCTCCTCCCTCTTGTCTTGCTTAGCTGGTAGCTCTGCTTCATCCCGCGCCTGTTTATCACAGCCGATAGGCGGAATAAAAACACTCTGCGGAAGGTGCGGGATGTATTCCTGGACACCAGCATTGTTGTTTAATCGAGGTAGCGTATCCAGACTAAGCATATCCAACAGCCTCACAATCAAAGCGTCCTCGCTTTCTTGATTCTGAACATGCCCCGCAATCGCATCAACAAGCGCGTCTTCCCCCTTCTCAACCTTAGGCCAAGTTCGATCATCGTAGTCCGTATTGCTCAACCCGACCGTTTGTCCCGGTTTGTCCGCGATCCAAAGGGTCGGTTCCGTCTCTGACGCCCGGCTGGCCAAAATCGCCAGCGGCTCCATAACATTTCCACACACGAGGTTAAATCCACCGATATTTGCTAACTCCCCGTTGGTGGTCCATTGGTTCACGAACTCTTGCGTGGTTTGCGCGTTATCCGGCGATGACGCGAGCCAGCTGTTGACGACCTCACCACGGCTGTATTTCCCGACGGCTTTTGCACAGGTGTCTTCATGGTAGTTTGTCAGCACGGCGATGCGGCCTTGTTTTGTGATACCCAGCCAGGTGGGATGGATGGGGCGCACAAGATCTCGAGCGCTGAGGACATGAGAATGAGGGGACGGCCACCAGTCTGCACGAGATGTTGGCCGGTGGAGGAACTCCTGTGATGTGATCAGTATTGGATATTGCCAAGGTCTATGAAGCGTGCAGAATACGTACATCTCGGTTGTTGCACACGATGAGGCGATATTGGGGATGAGCGGTGGAAAAGAAGGCGATACACATGCTGAATGGTATGTAGTTGTAGATTGATACTCAGTTTACAGCGGCTGTATTATCCAACATTGTAGCTGCTTGGGGCTTGCATTTATCTATAAAGTGAATCAGCCGGACGGAAGATCTCGTACGACCGTACGGGAAAGCACGGGTGTCCCGACCAGTGAGGCGAGAGTCAGGCGATTGGACACATGGCGAGGGCAACTACTAGTAATCTCTTTGGCTGACCATAGTTGGCCGCACAGGGAAGCCAAGTGAATTCTGTCATATTTTAGTCAAGAACCAGCGAGTCTGACAGTGATATCATCATTATGATTACTTTATGCTACATAAGAGGCAACCGAAGTCACATGCCCTCTCCCCGCACTTACTATTTTTATAGGGTGGATATTGCTCCGCAACCATTCATGCATGCAGCGTGATTCTAGACTCTTGGGTGGTTGAGGTGCGTCTCACACGAGCATATCTGTAACGTACGATTATATTGCAGGGTGTTAATAAAGTACTTATTGACTTGCCGAGCAATTTGTTTTCGTTGAGGAATCATTAGTGGTCTAGAATTGGAGCCGATGGAATGTACGAATCGCTGATCTTGATCTATAACAACCCAGTATATATCTATAACATACACTACTCTATACAGGAAGCGTGAACAGTGGATACAATTAAGGAAAGTAAAGGAGCGACAAGTCCATTACACATCACTTCAATCTCGGTCAGCTGGCCTAACCAATGGCGTGATCAATTGGTGATAGAAGGGCTGTTCTATCCACGGATCTTCAGATGAACAGCAGCGAAGCCTTTCTGCACTGCCGGACGCTGATAAACCCGATCGTACCATATTGTCAGCTCCGGGAACCTCTCAAGGTCGAGGCCAGCTGAGCCTGCGGCAGCCACGTAGGGGAGATGGAGGAGATCCGCAAGGGTGCTGCACATGGTTAGCTTCATATGGACGCAATACCAAAGGGGTGTATAATGAAATAGCGCACCACTTCTTGCCCACCAGGTAGTTACTGTGCGACTTCTGCAGATGCTGCTCAAGGTGAAGATACAGGCTGATAGCCTTTCTGGCGAAGGGGATGCCATCCTTTGCATCGAGATCGAAGCGGTGCTCTTCCGGATGGGCTGCATTGGGCTCAGTTAAGGATGCAACTAATCTGTTGACCTCATCATCCTCCTTGGAGCCCTTCTTATAGGACACCTCGTGAGCTGTGTCATAGCGCGCAATCAGGTACGACACAACATCGTGGAACCCGGAACGATCGATGGACTCGCCGTCGCTTTGAATGTTTCTGAGCACCGGGAGACTTTTCGCATCAATATCTTCTGGTTTTTCGACCAGATGAAGGCGATAGGGGAGTCTGAAACAGAGGCAATTAGCCAGGATTCATAGGGATTGTTATGGTTCAGGGGACCCACTTGAGTTCTTCGAGGACGACGGCAATAATGGCCCCCTCTCTTTGGCCTTCGGAGGCGAAAAGAGAGATCATTCCTCGTTGTTCTTGGAAGACGTTCATTGCAACGGCCGTAGTGTAATTGAAATTGAGTGCGAAAAATTCTTGGAAAGAAGTCTAATGGAGAAAAAAATATTAATATAAAAAAAAGGGCGAGGGGTATTGTTGAGTTCAGTTGCTTACTACTACTAGTAGTAGCCTAAAAAGAAAAGAAACCCCTCAATTCTCGTGCGCTGCGCACGTGGGCGAAGCACACCGCTAAGAGACAAACTCAATTTCTTTCTGACTCTTCATTAATTGACCACTTGTAACTGATAATTAGGATCTTCACTGATAGCGATCATTTATGACGCCATGCACGGGGCGAAGGATCATGTCCCTCCCTAAACAAGCATTTGGTCAATTCCGAGCCTATCGATAGCTTGTCGCTCCGGAAATGTCGCACAATGTGGGTTGACATCATGATAATCTCAGACGGTTACTCGAAGCCTTTTTCGCGATACCCTGGGCGGGTTCATGATTTGATGTACAAGCACCGAGTTATTCGACAGAAGTCCTGCAACGTGTTCAACAGACATCGTGGTCTGTTCTCCGCAAAGTGTCTAGGAACACAGACCAGCAAACTGGGCGATCTGCACCCAATGGATGGACTAAGCCTGAACGATAATGCTTTTCGCTGCAAAGATGATCGCCCGTTGATCTGGCCATCAGTCTAGAATATACAATCGCTCGCGCTAGAAAAGAATATTCGACAGGGGTCATCTTGCCACCCTTATCAGTGACAGCGCTAATGGACATAGTGGATGGTTGCAATGCAGCGTTTCACTCCCAGTCCCCCACAGAACAGCGTACTTTTTATCTACTTATTTATTCATCTATTCCCTTATTATGTATTATTATCATGCCTCTCATTCGTCCTACCTACTTTTGAATATTAATCATAGCTCCGCCAGGGTCACTAGCACATTATTGTGATAGAGCGGGGTTAGAGTAATGACCAGGTAGGAAAATTATATCGGAGAAATAGAGGTGCGTATAACGACACCGCAAAGCAACCTGCCATTCTCATCACTGAAGTAGGTAGCGGCTACTCAGCAATCAATCCTGTAGCAGGCTTCAATGCCACGAATTAAATTTGTAACTTAGGGCTATCGGGGACGAAAAGAGGCTTAAGCACCGAAACCCTGCTAATGCCGAGTCGGAGCCGAGCGCAAAGTTTCGCGGTCCAGACAGTGTCGCATGAGGTCATTTTCTACAAGGATCGCACGAAAAGAAAAGAAGAAAAAAGTCCCTAATGTCGGAGATCAATCCTGGCATTGACCTGTCTAACTCATATGGCACAATCCTCTGCATCCTAGATACCTGTGGCGCTTATTCCGAAACGCCTCGGGTTTATTTAAAGCTGTTGAACCCTCTCTCCTTTGGTTCGGTACCCCCAACTATCCGCCGGTCCAACCCAAGTTACCCAACGCAAAATGCCCGCAACTTCAGCACATCTGTGGAAACTCCAGTACCAAGATCTTCCCTATGCATGGGATAATTTAATTGGTGCAGACGCCGAGGTGGCGCCGATGTCTGCGTTTGATACGACCATTGAGCCACTGCCTGCCAACCCTCATCGACGAGTAAGTACCCTGAGGGAAAGACACCCTGTCACCTAGTCAGTCCATGATCTAATGATTATGCAGCCAAATTCTCAAGATACCCTCGATTCTCCCTGCTACTTGCCACAATGGTCTCCATCTTCTGTGCCATCTCCCGCAGACCTTCTCCCGTGGGAAGCGTACGAGAATTGGACATCTCTGAAGCACACATTCGCGGCGCCCAGCCAGTTTGAGGACGCGCCCGTGCTACCGCCACTCAAAAAAGATTCAATACAGAACACGTCGAAACACTCCTCTACGACCCGCACATCGCCCCCACAATCTCATTGCTCTGCCTCGACTTCAACCGTCGCCTCGTTATCGCCGCTCCCATCTTCCCCATCTGGTTCGCCCAGTTCCATTCCTCATGAAGGCCCAGCGCATCCTTCATCCCGACGCTCAGCACATAACAGAATTGAAAAACGCTATCGGGAGAACCTCAGTAAGAATTTTACTGCACTTGAGTCATCGCTGCAAGGCTATTACACACGAGGGGTTGGAAGTGGCAGGCCCCGCTTCTACTGTCAAAGGAAGCATGCTTCTAAGAAGATGGCAGTTCTGACCGATGCCGTTAATTATATCGGCGAGTTGGAGGCGGAGACAGTAATGTTGAAAAAGAAGCTGGAGACATTGCGGCAAGCGCTGCTGCCGAATGGAATATGGAAATACACCCTGAACGATGATTAAACCTTCGCTGTTGAGAGTTTCAGATTCCATGGGGGAATCATTTCCTAAAAACACACGTGCCTCGGCAAGCGTGACTTTCTGTACATATCATGTAGTGTATTGACGTTAGCGATCCTGGATCATGATGAATAATCCCTAATTCAAACAGATACAGTTCCCAACGCTTCGCTCTCCAGATGCCTCCTGCCAATACTAAGACCACATGATGCTTAATAGGTGAGATATAGATCAAAACGATCGGTTGGTTCCGTGAAGAAAGGAAATTGTATGTCTAGACCCGCCGATTTTTGCCCCCGGGCGCTATAAGCTTATGCCGGGGGCTGCCAATCAGAGGAGTTTTCGGAGGATCCATGGAACGCCAACTTCTTCACGTTGGACATGACACTTGAGGGGTGGCAATGTGAACCCTTGATTGGCTCTGCTTGCCGGCATCGTTTAACCGATCGCCCGAATTAACAGAGCTTTCGGCCGGCGCGGAGAACATCCCAATCCGGAATGGGAAAAGATGGAACCGCGGCAAAAAAAAAAAAGACAGAAACAAAAAAGAAAATTAAAATGAAGGAAAAAATTAAATTAAATTGACACTAAACCATTGACCAGTGCAACGATGTGCATACAACGAAACATCATGAACCGAACTACAGGGCAAATCACTGCCCCTGTGTGACCTCTCCGACCGATTTATCCTCGCTCTGACCCTCTTTTCCTACCACTTTCCGACGCCAGTGTGTCTGTCGGCCTTTACGAGCAAAGAACGAAGCACAACGGGTTCCCCACAATGCCGAGCGATATTCTCGTCGTCGGTGCCGGCATTGCTGGTCTCGCCAGTGCCATTGCCCTCTCCAACGAGCTCGCCCCCGTTATTCCTGGGTTGAAAATCACAGTGTATGATGGCGCATCTGAGCTCACCACGTCGGGCGGCGCCATCAGTTTAACGCCGGTCGCTCAGAGGTATCTCGACGAGCTAGGAGTCTTAACCGAGTTGAATCAGATGGGCGACCAGGCTGGTATTGAAGTAGATGCCATTGATCTATTTTCCGTGCGTGCCGGTCGCCGTTTGGGCCCCCTCCGATTTACCGACGAGAACGGACATGGTTACGGTGGCTATAAGGGTCGTCGGGTGTTGCGCAGCGCTTTGTCGGAGGCCATGCTGGCAGTGGCTCGCAAGCTGCCGAATGTGTCGGTTCACTACGATAAAAAGCTAGTCGGAGGAAGCACAACACCGGAGAATGTCACGTTGCACTTCGAAGACGGTTCAACCGCCACGGGGGACTTGGTTTTGGGATGCGATGGGGTTCACTCGGCGACACGGACGAAAATCGTAGATCCTGGCAACCGATCTGAATATACTGGTGTCTCTTTCATACAAAGCATGGCCGACGCCCGGAACTTTACCGCATCGATGCCCTTCACTCAAACCGCGGTACATCTCGCCCGGCATAGCTCGCTCCTGACGAGCTACTGCGACGCAAAACACGAGAAGCTCTTTGTGGCGGCAATCGTCCGCGTGAGTGAACACCTGATCGAGAAATATCAAGCAATGTCGGGAACGGACCTGGCGGCTCAGAAGAACATGAGGATGTCAATGCGTTACCTGGTCCGGGCGCAGTTCGGCATGTCAAGCCTACCGTACATCCGCGAGATCATTGACCGAACCGAGGATTGGATGCTATACCCTGTGTATCAGGTTCGCCAACGAGGGAAATGGCACACAGATCGGATACTTTTACTCGGCGATGCCGCGCACGCAGTAAGTTCCTTCATTTACAACGGCATTATGTTTGTCACAAGACTAATAAAAATACAGATGCCTCCGCGCGATGAATCGGCGGCGTATGCTGTAGAGGACGCGATCATATTTTCCAAACTCTTGGCCCAGAACCCCGACTGCCAGCTGATCGCATTATTTGAAGAATATGAAGAGCTTCGGCGAGGGCTAGTTAACAAGGCATTCGATGCGTCACGCAGGCTGTGGCAAAGTGACCTTGACAAGGGCCTCTTTCCCGGGCAAACTCGCGATCTGATGTCTCCTGTTCACCTTCCACCTGACAGCTGTGTTGGAAAGCGTGCCACACAGCCGATAACCAAGACGAATTTACCCGCTCCGACCCACGAGAGCTTCTCAGATCTGTCTGTGTACTCATTGACCAGCGATCTCGGGCGGACTGTCGACGCACCGAATGGCAGTTAACACCGATCACTTGAGAGGGGAGCATCTTGCATTATTTGCAACACTTTCTTCCTCCTCCCGCCCCTTTCCAATAATCTTTCACGTTTTTGTGTTCGCCTTAGAAGAGATTCCCATTTGACCATACATGTTTTAATCAGATGATATTGCGTCGCTTCACTAGCTGCTTTTAATCAGTGTTTTTCGGTGCCGTCTTAGATTCACTTTATGATACCTTGTCTAATACTATAAACTGAGCATTCGTTACTCAGGCCTCACTGCCCTCTCATAGTGCTTCTCTCCTCTACTTCTTCTTTCTGATGCCTCATCTCATCTTCCTGCTTTACTGCAACCTTACAATAACTTTCACATATTCCTTTCATCTCACATCCTATCTATACCCTTGCATTCCATCTAAGCATATACATTTAATCTCTCCTCAACTCTTGGGCATATACACCACTTCTTACTGATCTTTAATTACCTCGTCCATCCCCTACAACCCTTTCAACCTCTACTTCAGTATTTACTGAGCAGCTTCATAGCGTAAACACATACATGCACTTTATATCACTGACATCACGGGACTTTTCCGACCGTTTTCTGAGGGAGGATGTCTACATCCATCGTAGGCAAAGATACCAACAATATGGCATTGCCATCACGTCGATCGACCTCTGCAGAAGAAGATCGTCACCCCATAATGTCTACGGACACACTGCCAGTGAATACCCCACAAGTAGTCGGGAACCACGGCGGCCGGAATAAAGAAGCGTCGTTTAGAGGAGATCGAGAAAGGCAATGAGGGATTTTATTTACTAGTGACCAGTGTCGCTCCTGAGATCGTCAAAGGATCAATAAAGTATCGAGCTATATTCGGCTGCAAGTGCCGAATTACATACGATGCAGATGCATATTCTGCAGGGGGGAAGGGGCTTGCCTTTCAGTACTATTACCACTTTATTTGGAAATTTGCTGTCATCATTCGATAACAATCAAAGCTGACTCGGAAGACATTGGGCCTTACTTCATCTCATTGGCTATCGCTTTTGATTCATCTCGAGGCTATCTTTTAAGTTGGTCGGTCAGTGGCCATTAATCAGCGAAAGGAATAGTAACTAAGTAATGGACGTAGTATTAGCAGCGGAAATAGACAACATGGTAAATACAGTATGGCAGTCAGGGCTGTAAAATACTCATTTTGAGTCAGAACAACCTGGTATTCACCCGACATGAGTATTTTCCACGGAATGTTTCGTTTCCCATCGGTAAATCAATCTGAGACACGGAGGCCATTTGAAGAGAAGAAACAAACCACACAACACCAGCAATAAAAGTACAGTACATGGAATCCGCGGGCGACAGAATGAAGGAGACGAAAGAGAGAGCTAATACAAGGGGTTTTGTACAAGAAATGCCCGGGAAACAAAGCATCTCACATATCAGTAATCACTCAAAGTGCACAACAGGCCTAGGTCCAAGGCAACGACGCCGGCCATCGGCCCTACCACCCTGAACCAAGGCAGAAGAAGGGATCCTCAAAGGCAACGGGAAAGCAAGAGGAAGCAACGGAGCCTCTCCAGCACCCAACGAATGAAACGACACCCTCACATCCTCCATCTCACCCTCCCTCGCACCCTCTCCACCCTCCATCACAAACTCTTCAACATCAGTGTCCGCCTCATCTGTATCCGCGCCCCCATCAACCCCCTGGTATCTGGAACTAACCACATGCGAGAAACGATTAGTAGATTGGCGAATCCACATCTGCGAATTGACCCCCATTGCCTGTGTCTGCTCCTGCTGCTCGTGGTGGCCATCGAGGATGTTCTCCTTATCTTCATCGCGGGAGGAATAGGTGGTAAAACTGGACATAAGACCGGGATGGTTCTCCAGATGCGAGTCATCCGGGTCTTCGTAGATCTCGAAGAAATGGGAGGGACGAGCGATGTAGGAGCGAACCGAGCTTATGCCTATGTCGTCGCTGCTCGAGTTGGCGTGGACTTCGACATCCGTGTCGGTGTCCAGGTCCATCTCTTCTTCATTGATGGCCGTGGTCGAGGCACTGGTTGAGCTGTGAGTTTCTGGGTCGGTGTCGTCGGCGTCAGAGAGTATCTCTTGGTCGTTGTGGGTGATGCACTTGATCGCGATGTCGAGATAGGTGCGATCATGGTCATCCTCGAGGTCTGACTCGGAATGATTCAGAGTTTTGAGTCTCTTGCATGGTCGTGCGTGGTGAGGCTGTTCTGGGGTGATGTTCCCATCAATGTCAGAGGCTGAGTCTAGTTCCCCGTGCTTGCGGACTTTGGAGTTGGGAATTGTCGCTGTTTGGATGTTGTCGTGCTTGATTGAGTCTGTGGCGGACTGGGTAGATAGGCGCTTTGACTCGCAGCAAGAGGCGGTTACCTGTTGGTTTTTTTTCTCTCGTTATTCTTCCTTGATAAAAAAAATAGAAGTTTCTCTAGATTCGAGATTTCGTATGATCTGTATCGAATATGAACTAAGAGAAAGCACTCACATATTGATCGATGTCCAAGCAGAGCTCGAAGTCGACCTCGTCCATCATATCGCCAAGCTGCGTAGAAGATATCTGTTAGCCATTCCCCTTTGCATTAACCCATTTGAGCTCCGGATGAGCTTCTTTTCTCCATCACTATCCAGAAAGCGTGGATGTCGATTACAAGTTGAAGCGTCGACGCCCTGCGTCTCTGGCTTATTGTGGGGTTTCTGGTTTTTTATTTGTTAGAGATACGCTCTAGTAGTATAGATCAGATGAATAGATGAAAAGTTTACCTGGTTCGCTTAGTTGAATGTAGGGCTGTGGTGAAAGCTGTAGGTATGGAGTAAAAAGTGACTGAAAGGGACAATGGAGCAAGGGGGTCTAAAGATCAGCAGACACATTTGAATAAAAACTTTACTTGCCTTTGGATTGGGCGCCATGGTAACCTATAGTTACTTTGTATCGTGGAATACTGATCGCGAAATATTGAAGTGATATATGTGCACTATGCTGTAGGTGGAAGGGAGTTGTATAGTGTGCAAAAGACATAAAACAGGGCATCACGAAGTGCCATTCCCTACTATTCACTGAACAAGATGAAACACTAGCTGACAAGTCTTCGAGGGCCCTTCGCTGACCAGAACAGCTTGGGTTATGGAATTCACAGCCAATCATTTATACATTGGCCCAACAGAATCAAAGATATCAGTAAACAGTGAGCGAGAATTTTACGGATAGAAACCTTCATTCAAGTAACAGATTGATTGCAAGTATCCAGTCATCTGGTTAAGCAAGTATAGTGTGTACGATCTATCCTGTCAGATCACATACTTCACTAGATATTGTTCAATCCATCTACTACTTTCATTTCGATCAGCCTAGAAATGGAGCTGCGGCAGCAACCCTATTCGCATTCCTTCGACACTCTCGGGGAATATGGCAGGATATTTCAATCAATCAAAGCCAGTCCTTGCTACGCACAGACGGAGGGCACCAGGGAAAGCAACACATAAATCTGGGATACATATCAAATTTGGCAAAAAAAAAGCAGCCTGGTGAGCCAGCAATAATCACACCATATGCCACGCTAGTTTTGCATCAAGCAAGGAGCCCAGCTATATCCATATATCTGCTTATCTGAACTGGCCCGGACCTACCATGCCGCCCCGGGCGTCTCCAGCGCCGACTTGTCCGAACATATCCAATAGGTGCCGAGAGGAATGTGGAGGCCCCTGTGGACCGGGGTTACCGTCAAAAGGACCCTGACCACCATGGCCAAGACCCATCAGGGCTTCAGCATTGGGTGGCATAGGCGGGAAGCCAGACGGGGGAGGGCCGTTCATGTAACCCGGAGGAGGCATCATACCTGGGGGAGGCGGGAATCCCGCAGATCCATTGCCGCCTGCACCACGTGGAAAGGGTTGGCGCTCACCGAGCGGTGGAATATTCCCATGCATTGGCATCATATTGGACATGAAGTTAGGGTTGACGCCACGTGTCGGAGTAGGAATACCCGGTGGAGGAGCAAGAGGGCCGGGGCCACCACCCTGCTGTGGAGGAAGCTGGTGGCCGGCCCATCCAGGAGGCGGCAAGTGTTCAAAGCCTGGCGGTCTCTGCACGCCCATTCCAGGTAGACCTTGACCTTGAGGAGCCCGACTTCCACCCGGGGTGATGGGAACTTGGCCGCCTTGAGGGAACGGCATATCCTCAAAGTAACCCATCGGAGGCCCATTCGCGGGTCGTCGCCGAAGCTGATCAGGTTCCGCTCGCTGCATATTAGCGATCGCCGGATCGTCGATGAAGTTAGGAGCCTTTGGTGCGGATGCAAGCCCTGGAGGGGGTGGGAGCATTTCTGGCATATTGATCATACCAGGAGCGGCGCCGGCGCTTTGTGGTTGACCATGACTACCTTGAGCCTGATTTGTAACAGGAGTGACACGGACTTGCTGCATTAGGCGAAGTAAATGTTCCCGTTCTCGGGCTTGAAGATCTACAGGAGGGCCAGCACTCCGCATAGAGTTCTCCTGAATGAGCATGGGGTCTGGTCGCTTGATCTGCTCGCGGGAGGGCGATGAGATACCGCTTTGGACAGATTCTGCTTGAGGAAGCGATGGAGGCCGGTTGGCTTGCACGGTATCGTTGTGAGGTGTAACATTGCGCGATTTGCTCCCTCCGAGCATCTGTAGAATACGCTGAAACCCTTCCTGGTCAGCATCAGTAGTTGACGGCTGGACAGTAGGAGACTTGTTCTCCAGCTGCGAATCAGTCTCTTTTGCCGGACTGCCGGGGGGCGGACTAAACAACCCAGCAAAACGAGAAGATTTGAACGGCTTCCCCGGAATATTTTCTTTCTTAGGGGTAGCTTGACTGACTACGGGGGCCTCTAACGGTGACGAAGTAGCGGTTTCCTGAGGAGATTTAGAGTCGCCCAGAAGCCCAAAAAATCGTTCCATGGCTGTGTCTGATTGGAACGGTGTGCCGCTGCTGCTGAAGATTTCACCGTCTGTTGGTCTGGGCTCTGGCT